TTCGTTTCACTGCGAAAAATTGATTAACGACAGAAAGGTTGCTCAATGCAATTCGTTCAATATTCAGTAAGAATTTGTCCAACGTCTACAGGTGTTTCATAAAGAAGAAAAAAATCTTATTCCATTGTAACATTTTTGTTATTCCTTGTGAATATGAGAAATTGAAAAATTACGTGATATGAAAAATTAAGAAGATTATAGTTCTTTATTTAGTTTTATTCAAACTATTTGTAGAGTCCTTTTTTTAAAATTTTCGATGTCAGGAGACTGAAAAAACCCGCAAACCGCTCCCTAGGATTCGAACTCCAAAACTCTCGAATTCGTGTTGAGCGTGCTTCCAGTTACACCACGAAGATATGCGGGAAGGAAGAAGAAAATACTTTATATGATCCGCCTTTTAAAAGACGACTGAGGATTAGGAGACCCAATCGCCAAATCCTGGTGGTGAAGAATCATGAAACTAAAAAGGTGAAGAATCATGATTCATCACCTTTTTAGTTCGGACCCCACTTGTAGAGTCTTTTAGAATTTTTCGATTTCATAAGACTGAACAAATCCGCAAACCCTTGACGGGATTTGAACTACGGATTTCCGAATACTCGTCGAACGTGCTTACACCAAGGAGGCTTGCGGAAAAGAGGAAAAAATACCTTATATATTAACTAAATACAGCTCTTCTATACAGCCGTATGTGTTACAATACGTGCCTGGCCATGTGCTGTGTGAGCTCTTGCCATCCCTCATTCCGAAATCTGATCCTTTGCGATTTTTTGAGAGATTTCTTGAGATATATATAAATGTATAATCCCTGAGGGGGAAAGAATTAAAATCTATGGGGCTTCTTGATTTTGAAAGACATTTTAATGGACCAGAACGCACGCCAAATACACATACGGCACACAAAATGCAAATATACAAGATACTAATAAAAAACTGCTGACGTCTTATATCTAGCTTTGAATTTAAAACAATTCTTGTTGCCAACTCTAAAAGGTATTCTAATAACTCTAAATAGTATAATCAAACTATATCACTCTGATGTATTACTCAGTCGATTATTTAACTTTTTGTCAATTCCTACACACACACACATATATAACGGTCAGATTAATTTTTTTGTACATTAGCATGTCTTCCATAATTAATTTTGGCAGTTTTTTTCGCGTGTTTTCAGTTTTTTCCAGTTTTTCCAGACAAAAAATTTCTTCTTAGTTTATATTTTAGTAATACAGCGTTGAAATATTTCATGGAGCTACAACTCCTGGTAACTTTTTAGCAAGATCGCTGCAATGTTTCTACCTACTACTATTATTTTATATATATATATGTAATGATATTTTTAAATCAATTGAGTTAATTAAATTCTAATCATATTCCTTAATAATGTGTTGGCGATTCTTTACCTAAATTGCATCCCTGTTCCTAAATTTTGGCGAAATCCTTTCTTTATTATAAATTATATTAACCTGTTGGCGCCCATCAAATCGCCAAACTCATAATTCTGTCATATTACATAAAGTCCTTAAGAACACTCTTGATGAGAAGATAGCGTCACCTCGTGCTTTCAATTAATATCACTGATTGGATGAGCCCCATGACGCACACACATCTATAAATAGGGCTTCTCCTCAAGGTATATAGTGCGGAACGCTTGTGAGATGGATGCTGAAATAAACGTATCACTGTATATTCCCAAATTTGTCTCATTCCTGTTGTCCCGGCTGCACAACACAAATAATGTATGAGATTCTACATTTCATATATATGTGGTGTAGTGGCCGAAACCGCTATGCAAACCCTGGTTTGTGACATCAGGTTGAAAACAAAACACAGCATAAAAACAAAATTTATTGAATGCTAAAAAAATGGCTACATACAATTCGACAAGAGAGAAACTTCAACTTTTTTAAAAAACAAATTCTATACATCAATCGTGCGAGAGCCATACGTGGCTCTCGAGCCTGCGTTTTTAACATTGCCAGCAATTTAATATTATTTTAATAACAACTATTTTTTTACAACTTAATATTATTTTAATAACAATTAAATAATTATATTTAGTCCCGTGATTTCATCACGTATATTGCACTCTGAATTTGCAATTTGAAATCATTCGTCGTAGGTTTATGCGACCTCATCACAGTATATGTATTTATGTGTAATGTTGTAGTTTTTGCGAAGATTAAACCAATTCACTCTTGAGTCATGGTCGAGAAATTGCTGCGCAGTTGACTGGAGGGAAAATTTTTCTTGATCGTTAAAACATCTTTTTCTTTTTTATTTTAAAAAGCAAATATTCTTCAGAAATACATTTTTCCTTTGAACTCGTACCATACTAGAGAAGCTAAACGCGCCCCAGAACTTCTATATACACAAATTACATTTCAGATAATAATGAAAGAAAGCGAAGTGAGAGACGTGTTTTAATCAGGCAGCAGTAAGCGAGAAAGAATGATGTGTACTAATCGTGTTTATGAACCATAAGATCTTTGTGTTAATCCTGAGCAGCGATTGGGGTAAAGTTTTCGCGATGCAGAGAAGTTGCAAGGAAAGCGTTACGTAAAATGCTGCAGAGTGACGCAAAATGGTGCAAAACATATTCATAAAGCAGGGATGTGCTTAATCAAAATTTATGAATTTGAAGGTCTGTGGTCCTAGTTGTTAAGTTTAATAATTATGTTTCATATTTTATACATTACACACACACACACACACACACACACACACACATATATATATATATATATATATATATGTATGTATACAGATAGATAGATAGATAGATAGATATAGATATAGATATATAGATAGATAATGAGGCCAACCATCAACCGAGCGATAACGTCACCGATCTCTAGTAGTTTGGTCTGAGGTTTGAATCCCTGGAACGAGCTGACTGCATGGGCATTTTTGTGGGTTTCTCCAAGTGTAATGTGTATACGAGCCAGTTTCTCTTAGAAAGTCGCCCACGAATGCATCCCTCCCTATAGCCCTCGAGTGTTTTTCCATAGTAAAATAAACCAAACCAAATCGGACAAATAGATAGATGCATATATATATCGTTATTACCCACAAGCTTTACCACATATTTGAGAACTAATTACTTAATGCAGGAAATTATTTCATAGCTCTTGCGCAGCTAAAACGTACGTGTTAGGACATCAGTTATCGTTGTGATATCTGTCGCTTTAAACAGTCCTATTTTCTTCTCAGCTGGGAAAGTTTTGTCTTGTAAGCACTAGTAATTTTGCAACCGCTCAAAATCTGCTTCTTCTTGAAGCGCCATATAGTTATTAAGATATGTTGATAAATTACAGCAAAATAAATGAGACCAACATGCCTAAGACATGTTCTCACTATACATTTTATTTCCGTTTACTTTATTATATTAAATCGTTTATGCTATTCTACGTTCATCCTAAAAGTGCCAACTTAATAATTATAAAGAGCGTGGTGTATTATGAGGAAATATTTTTTAAACTCAAGGTCACATCGTCTATTAATAAAATATGAAAAATAATGTACATGAATCTGAAGAATGAATCATCGACTTTACATGTGATCCGAACTAAAATCAGATTAACATCGGTATTTTCCCAGAGAAAAATATTTAAACATTCTTGACGTTTTCTTGCGAAAACATTTAAAGGACCACATTTCCGAAAGCAATGTTGATGAATATAAAGATATCGAATCATTAAAGTTGAGACGCATACACATATATATCGTAGGCTCCAAAATTTTACATAAATATATATATATATAATGTAAAATTTTGGAGCCTACGATTTTTCCCAACGTCTGTTATAGATAAACATTAATTTTGATAAGTAGATGGAAAATGAATTCATATTGTTACGAAATGTCCAGGCGCGGTAAGATAGCTTCCCCGCAAGGCAGGTTTATAGTTGTCACATTTGGCGAGAAATCGCTCATTTGGCGACAAAATTTGCGATAGGTCAAAGATGGATGGAGAACCTTCTGGAACGAATTCTTACTGGTTTAACCCAGAATGTTCTCGAACACAAGCCAAAAGCTACATAAACACTGCTGGTACGCGGTCAGTCCGTGCGGAGTCCATCGAGTAGATAGTCAGTCAGCGAGTGCCGAGTTGGTCGTCGAATGTACCGAAAGAGTCTCTTAGTGTATCGCGAGTTAGTGCATCGTCGAGTTTTATCTTAGAGTGTGTGAAGCTCCGGGAACGACTGAACTCAGGAGTCGCGAGCTATACTCTAGTGTATCGTCGAGTGCATCGCGAGTTTTAACGTAGAGAGTCTCTAGAGTACGTATAGTTCCGAGAACGACCGAGGAGAGTCGAGAGCTATACTCTGGTGCTTTGCAGTGAAGCTGTTTTCACCGTTATAGCCGGATAATCTGAAGGCTGCGTTGTTCCAGCGTGTTTATAGTAGATCTTCGAAGACTGTAAATCGTGATTTTGGAGCTGTCTTGAATAATACTGGGCAATAAAGTGTGTTTGGATACTTCACCAAGTGTCGTCATTATTCACTCCAAATCCCTCACAAACCCGTAACGTACGTGAAGAAGAAAAAAATAACGTAATAATATTTTGTATAAAATGCTTGTATGTAACATGGAAAAAAAGTTTTAATTTCCTATTTCAGAAATTAGTTTATCAATCTCTGTTATGCCCGTCTACGAATATTATATTATTTTTTCAAAAATAATCTTTTTATTCAGCTTTAAAATCTTTTTATGTAGTTCGTATTCCTGTAATGACATTTTATAGCTCAACGATTTATATACAAATTACTAATGAATTATGCAAATTTTACGGAATATTTTTGACATGATATATATGTAGCATATGTTAATATAAACAAACATTACATTTACATTTTACTAAACTTCGCAGGTGATACTATATTTCATAAATTCTTTGCGATTTTAACAACCGCTGCTGTCATGAATGTATTAAATCTTTACCATAGCAAATTTCAGTTGAAAATAACAGTTTATAACAGTGAATTCGTCTTTTGTAGGTTTATCTGACGGCTGTGAATGAGCCCGTATCAGCTATAAGCTCCTCAGTTCCTGGTACTGATCAACCATTTGAAATTTCTGGAACTTTCATACCTCCAGTGGGTGAAATAACAACAAAGCACTTCGGCTTGGATATCTCAGCCAAGACCATCGGAGTGTTATTTCCAGAAAAAACTGATGCCTCTATTATCACTGTTACAGGTACAGAAGGAACATTTGTCCATCATGATGCCACGTCTGAAAGAGCTTACCCAGTGTACACTGGTTCATACATAAGTGGTACAGTAGATCCTACGACTTATAAATTCTTCTTTGGTAACCATCCACTTACTTCGAATGTTAAAGTTATATTGCCAACTGTTAGTAGTAATGACATTGGTTCGACCGAATATTTCGCAGCTGAAGAAAGCGAGCTCCAAGGGTCTGTTACGAGAAGGAAAGATACAATTGCAGACCTAATGCTTGATAGAAAATATAGCAATACTGCCGAAAGAGAGGTTCCAGAGCCTTATTACCGCTTTTTAAATAAGAGCAATGAAGAATATCTAGCCAAACCAACAACATTATTATACGCTAAACCTGCAGTAATTACTCGTTACGTGCAGCCTACAGCATACCCAGAAACAAACGAACCAGTTCTTGCCATGGCTGGCAGAAATACTATTGGAATAGTCGGTAATATACGTAAACCGCAGCAGGTGTCTACACTAAGAGGCCATGAAGGATATTATAGACAAGGAAGAATGTATAACAATGCAGCGACTGGCAGGCGTGTTGGCCCAGGAGGCGCTACTGTGATAACTGACCAGTTTTTCTTTCCCGCCCACAGAATACAAACTTCAAAGGTAGAAAATGCAGATGCAGCTTATAACACGGATGTAAATAACGCGTATTACGAGGTGGATGGTGCCGATTTGAAGGAAAAGTTGAGACAAATTGTGAGACCTACTGCCGCTTATGATCGTCAGACTGTTAAAGACAAACGATTGACTAGGACTGTTGGTTTGTATGGGCCTATCTATGAAATTGAAGACTTAAGAGATGAATTTACCACTTCATCAGCTACAATTTCGGAAACTAATCCACTAACAACTGCGAGTACGAACGAATCGAACGAAAACGATTTTACTACTACTTTGTATGGTTTTGCTGAATTCAGTACCAGAATATCAGGAACTCAGTACATATTCTTACCTGCGTCAACCAGACCAAGGACATTTACGCCAAGAGTGACAAGAACGAGTTTTTCGAACAGTAATTCACTAATTCTAAGAACTCGAAGCGAAGATAGTGTTGTGGAATCTCAGCCAGAAGCATTTTTTCGTAAGCCGTTGTACGGAACCGAAACAAGGGAATTCATATCTCAAAAATCTATGTTCACATCTACAGTGAAAGAACCTATTGAGATACAAAAAACAATGTTTACTTCAACTGTGGCGACAAAACAACCGTTTGAAAGTCAGTTGAGAGCGAGGAAGGTTGAAAGCAACACAGAAAGTGTAATTGCAGAGACATTGCCATTAAATCTAGCCACTGTATATGATAACGAATATGAAAGGACTAGATCTAGTGCAGACCGTAATCTCTTCCTTAACTTCCAGTCTGTAAATAAACATAGAATAAGTACAGATAGTCCACGTGAACTGGACGTAAGCCAGATCATTGATTCTGTGAAAGAGACTGGTGGAACAGATGAACTTATGCAACCCACAGGACTTGTAAGTTCCATCACTGGAACAGAAGTATCTGATGGCACTACAACTCACTGGACTACTTTAATATTTGGCACATATATTGAAAATACATATGCACATATTATTCAAAGCACTTCTAGTATTTTCTTTACTGTGTCAAACACTGCTCTACCAGAAGAAACTTTGGATTCAGAAAATATCTTAGGTGATAAGATTACAGAAATTTCAAGTGATTTACCTGTGTTAGCTTATGTAGAAACTTCAAGCGTAAATGGAATAGAATTACTTTCATCTATAGCTGATTTATCTTCAACAAAGCAACACATTATTTCAAAATCAACAAATAGTGTTGCATCAACTCCTAAATTAGAAATATTAACTTCAGGATTTATTCTACCTAGAAATGGTCGATTAGAAGATACGGAGCCAACATTATCAATAGAAAATTCAAGTATAGCTTCAAGTTTAATATCCTTAACTTCTTTTACAGAGAAATCTGAATCATATATGCCTACACCTGGTGTAATATATGCTGATGAAGATTCGTCAGATATCCCTTCGCTGACCAGTCCATCGAATGATGAAGCAGTTCATATTATAACAGATAGTTTTATTTTACCTGCTCTAGATGAATCGCGTGCACAATCTCCATCAATCAAAACCATAGATGGCGTATCAAGTACTGATCAAAATTTATTTGAAAGTACTTCAGCAGTAAAATCAACAAGCACACAGTATATTGATGACTTAGATCGTTTAATTATTGGAATTCCAGACGTGTCATCTGATAAAAGTGTTGTCAAAAACACGCTTGAAACAGGTGACGTGTCAGTCAAAAGTGAAAGTAGTAGCTTAGAAGGTAGGACCTCCTTGGAATCTGCTATAATTTCTCCATCTGTAGTTCTTCTCACTGGTGATTTTATTTTACCAAGTAAATCAAGGAATTCAGGACTCTTCACAGTCGAAAATAAAATAAGTGAATCTTCATCAAGAACAGTTATCGCTCCAAGTATATTGACTGACGGCTTTATTTTACCTGCAGAACATACAACGTCAACTACATCCACTGAGACTGCGGTTTCTACACCCAGTGAAGAGCTGAGTTCAACCTCAGATTCAGTGAGCATTCTGACAGAAGGATTTATTCTACCTGCAGCTGATAAAGAACCTGAAAATTCTAAAACAAAAACCACAATTGTTAATGCGCTTCCGTCATCTGCGTTGCTCACAGCTGATTTTTTGCTTTCCGAAGAAACTGTCGATAAAGGAACTAGTGGTCGTAGTGCTGGAGACGAAAATAAACTCATTGCATTGGATGACATAATTAACACACATGTATTACACTCGGCTTCTTTATCAACTAGTAAAGATGCCGGAGATGAAACTATTGAAAGAAACCATTCAGACGATTCAACTGTGAGATTAGGAAAGGTACTAAAATCGATTCCTGAAGCTCCAAATCCAAAGGTAGAAGAAATTTTGCCCTCAATTTCATTTCCAATAACTTACTATACTACATCTACATACTTTACTACTTACCTTCTTGATGGAAATACAGTAGTATCGAGCAGGAAAGAGACTGTTTCTCAAGTATACACAGATAGTGAGCAACTGAAGTTAGCTAAAATCAATCCCACTGAAACCATAATACTACCCCAAACTATTCAGCCGACTAGTGTTGTTGATCCTAGTGCGTTTTTAACTACGTATACATTCTTCACTACTTTTTATAAAGACGGAACTAAAATAACTTCTTCCAGAGAAGAAACTAAAAGTGAAAATTTCGATGGTACTTCAACTCCACCAGTTGAATCCAAACCTTCTTACACTGTCCTCACTTATCCAACTACTTATTATACCACACTAACGTACTTTACGACTTTGGTTAAAGATGGCAGTACGGAAGTAATTTCCAGCGAAACTGTTGTGTCAAATGTTGTAACGCCATTGCTTAACGAACAGTTACCAAAAACGTCTATAAAAGAAACACAGCCGCCAAGAAAAATTGAATCAACTCTAGCACCTACTACTTACTATACGACATACACATATTTCACTACTTTTCATAAAGATGGTACAACATCAGTGAGTACCACTTATAAAACTGTATCAAATATAATTCCCAATGGCAATTCTATTTCCAGTACTCCCTCAACAACCATTTTTGAAACTAATACAGTTGATAGTAAATTGCACGAAATTCCTCAGATGACAACATACTATACTACATATACTTACTATACAACATATTTAAGGAGCGGGAATCCTGTCGTTTCAAGTCGAAAAGAAGTTGTAACTAGTATTGGTAAAATATTATCCACGGAGCCTACAGAAATTTTAACGACCAAAGCATCTATCGAATCTCCACAGAAAACAACTTTTTACACAACTTATACTTATTATACAACGCTTCTTAAAAATGGAAAGACAACTGTTAGCACACGAAAAGAAACAGTTTCTAACGTCATTCAAGGACATTCAACATCTATATTAGCTTCACCCATCTCACGTACTGCTTCTCCATCAGATATACAAAGTACTCCAAAAATGAATACCGTGAAAACGTACTTTACTACGTACACTTATTTCACTACATTCCTTCGAGACGGAAGTTCAGTAGTTTCAACTGAAAAAAGTACTGTTACAGACGTAGTGACTGAAAATTTTCCTAGTACATCTGCTCTTCCTAGAGCAACGTCTCCTCTTTCAACTACAAGTAGCTTTAAACTTCTACCATCATCTATGAGAAGTTTTGCTACATACTATACAACTCTGACGTCATATTATACACTCTTCAATGCAGGGAAACCTTCAGTGAATACTGTTTACAGTACATTGACTGATGTCGTAGCTCTTGCAACGCCAACTCAGGATCTAAAAACTATAGTTAGTGAAGAGTCTATAAAGTCTTCACCAGTTCTCGCAACATATTTCACTACATATACCTATCGTACCACACAAATGAGTTCTGGTACACCAGTTACATCCACGAGAGAAGTTACAACTAGTAAAGTGATTACACTGAGTTCTGACGTAGATCCATCAACCATAGCTCATGCTGTAACACCATTCTTAATATTAGACAACGAAAAAGTACAACCTACAGCTGTAGTTACAAAAACATACTATACGACATATTCATTTTTCACAACTTATCTTTCTAAGGAGCAACCTTCGGTTTCTACGAGGTTTGAAACTGTGACTAATTTTGTCACTGAAACTATTACTAAAACTCAAGCAGAATCACCAAGTACCACTACAATTATTACTCAGTCATACCCGATTACTGATCATTCAACAACTATCCAAGGTTCTTATGAAATTACTACTAAGCAATCATCTACGGTTACGCCTACAACATATTATACAACGTACACATATTTCACAACCTTGCTTTCTGGTGGTAGTTCAGTTATAAAATCGAGTACTCATGTAGTTTCATCCCCTGTGAACGAAGAAGATTTTACAAAAACTGATTTTAGCGTCAGACCAACGGACAGTAATACTTTTAAAGTAATCTCAACGCCCCTCTCTACTCTGACAAATACTATATATACTACATTCACCTTTTATACAACTTTGTTCCCAAATGGATCCCCGGAAATACGTACGCGTTATGAGACATCTTCAAATGTCTTAACAATAACAGTTACACCTACGTTAACAGATAGTTTTATAAAATCCACATCTGATTTGGAAGCGGCTGAAGGAGAACTTCATGAAAAACGTGTTCATCCGACGCCTGTCGTTACCTATTATACAACGCATACATATGTCACTACAAGTGTTCAGCCTGATGGTAGTACTAGTTTCATAACTCGACAAGTTGTAGCTTCAGCAACTGTGAAGCCATCTATAAGTGCTGTAGATGACAAGTCTGAATCGCCTACACCAGTTCAACTATGCTGTTTACATTCTACCCAATATCCATACACATTTTTTACAACTTATACATATTACACTACTAGATTTCATGGCGAAAGGCCAATAATCAACACTAGATATGAAACTATAACAAATGTTATAAAAGCACCAATTATATCAACAACAATACTTGGAACGTTAACAGAAAAGGAATTAAGCGAGTCTGATAAATTTTCTATTGCTAGTTCATCGACCTTAAATGAAGAAAGTAAATTTACACCAACTTCTGAAATTGTTGCATCCTCTAACAGTCATTATGAACCAGCTTCACCAAGATTTGGAAAACCTGACGTAATGAAATCGCGCAGAGTTGACGAAAATATTAATATTCCGCTTATTACTACGTCTTTGATATCAGTAATTACTGAAAATGTCGATCATGGTACAACAAAACTAACGTCTAAGAATCCGACTGATGTATCGCCACTATCTTATGAAGCAACAACTGAACAGGAGATTACATTAGATGTAACAACATCTGAGACTATAAGTGAAAAGGAAAATATTTCTGGCAGCACAGGTACTGAAGAAAAGAAAGATATGAATCAAATCAGTGTTACTTCAGAACCTGAATCGTCAACTGAAACTGCCTCTACTGATCAACTAACTACCTCAGATCATAGTAACTCAACAGCTGCATATATCCTTGAAAGTGACGCTCAAGTAACCGAAAATTTAACAACCGTAATAACCAAGGATACTGAACAGACGACAACTCAAGAGCCAATGACTTCGACCGAAACAACAACTGTAACAGAAGCTCCTAAAAGAAGCATATTTTCAAGGCGTAGAAATAGGCCTGTTTACAAGCCTCGTCCTTCATTCCGCTCGTCAACAACTACTACTTCTGCGCCATCTACAACTAAATCGCCTAGCAGGATACGATCTTCTACTACAACAAGAGCAACTTCCTCTTTTAGCAGGAGAAATTCAACTAGACTATTGTATCGTAGGCCAAGTTTAGCTCCACGAGTAAACCCTTTGCAGCGTCTGCGTCCTTTGAGACCAACACCAAAACCACTCAATGACTCAGAGAGCGATGAAACAGTTGCGAGAAGGCGACGTCGATCTTTTTTTTACCCAGATATAAGTAATGATGTTATATTATGTCGAAGAAAATTATTATCTACCCCTGACGAGGAGGGTAGTGAAAGAAGTTTAAAAAATAATGATTTAATTTCTGAGAAAAATAGTGGTTCTTCAAACTGGAGAAACAGTGAGAAAGAACATTATCCTCTTGGATTGATTAGATCAATGGAAGCGAAAGCTATTAATAATGGGGTTACGACAGTTTATGGGACAGAAATACACGGTACTTTTATAAATGGCGTGTATGCTCAAGTTGTTCAAAGCAAAGTTAGAGTTTATTCAGATACTTCCAACGAAATTGAGAAAACACCTTTCTTTTCACCAGCATCGCCAACAGATATACCACCAAAATTATCTGCAACTGAAACGAACAGAGTTGGTTTAGTGTCATCAAAGATTAATACAGCTGTAAAGGATGGTACAACAACAGTATATACCACAAATGTTTATGGAACATATATTGGCGAGGTCTATGCTCATTTAGCACAAACAACATCGAGCATTATTCAGCCAACACCAACAATACAGAATCAACGCCCAACCGGTTTAATATCATCCATGATTCGATCTGAAGAAAATTATGGTACTACGACCCTATGGACCACTCATATCTATGGTACTTATGTTAACAATTATTACGCTCATATTGCTTCCACATTTTCGAATGTATTCGTAAATCCAGAAAAGAGTACTCAGACTACACCTTTATTGTTCGATTCACAGAACCAGCCATATGTTCAAGCGACACCTGAAATTAAAATGTCCACTCCATCACCTAGATTAGAGGAGGCACCTAGAGAATATAAAACAGGGCTTTTGTCTTCTATTTTGTCTAATGAAGAGTCGGATGGAACAACTACACAATATATTACTAATATATATGGTACATACATTGGAAATCACTATGCAAAACATGCTCAAACAACATCTAAAATTATTTTACATTCTAAAGTCGAAAACCCTACGCGATCTATAGGATTATTATCAACATTAGTGAACAGTGTCATTAATAACAACATAGCAACTTATTACAAAACAGAAATTTTTGGTACATATATTGGACAGCATTATGCTCAGTTAGCTAGAACAACTACAGAGTACAAAGTTTTACCGACAAGGCCTTCCGAATCTTCTACTCAGTTGCAAATGCAACAGAAAACGGGGCTTCTTTCATCAAGTATTGTTCGAAGCGAAGTGAACTCTGGGACGACAACAATGCATGTTAATGAAATATATGGTACTTACATTGGCAATGCGTATGCACATGTCGCAAAATCCACTTCGAAAGTTATAAAGCCAACAGCAACAGAAAGCAAGTCTGCTAGTTCTGCTACTTCTCAGAAAACTGGTTTAATATCATCCAGCGTTAAGACCGAAGTTAATGACGGTACCACTACTTTACACATCGCAGAAGTTCACGGGACATACGTGGGAAATTATTATGCTCATGTTGCCAGACGAACATCTACGGTGCTTCCATTTATTCCCATGACAACAAAGACTGCAGAACAACCTCAACCGAACACTGTAAATAGTAGACCTGAAGGTCTAATATCTTCCGAAATAAGGACAGAAGTTAATCAAGGCACAACAACGCTGCACACAAGGGAAATCCATGCTACTTACATTGGCGGATATTATGCTCATGTTGCTCGAAGCACATCGAATATAATCACTCCAACTGCTTCATCTTCGACAGGACTGCTCTCAGCCATAACTAGCACTGAGGTGAACGATGGTATTACAACACTGCATACTACAGAAATTTTTGGCACTAAAATCAATGGTTATTATGCCCATGTTGCCCGAAGTACATCAAATGTGGTTACAACAACGCCAATAGCAATCACATCTCAAAAGCCTATTGGTGTTCTCTCTACGACTACGTCCACTGAAATTAATAATGGAGATACTACATTATATAGAACTAGTATAATTGGTACAGAAGTGGATGGAACGTATACACAGTCTGTAAAAGTCACCTCAGTCATCATATATGCTTCTCACCTCTTTCCTGAAGCAATCACAAAACCTTTCTCTGATGTGGATTCTAAAACCCTTTTGTCACTTAGGTCAGCTAAAGATGATTTGGATACTGCGAGAGTGAATGAACTAGATAATGGGAATCAATATATTTCTTTGACAGAAGACAGCGATCTAGGGTTGAAAACACCTCTAAATCTTCAGTCTGAAACAGAATTACTAAGTCCTTCTGTGAAAACAGAACTGCCTTTCACTAAGAGTACAGAGCAAAGTACCCCTTCTTTAGTCTCTAGTATTATAACTGGAATTGAAACGTATGAGGGAAAACCTTATGAGTCTGTTCCTACAACAAATTCGGAACCTCTAGACAAATTTACTACAGAAATTACCGCAGCATCTATAATTGAATTAAATTCCGAAGATCCGAATAAATTAGTCAAGAAGGAAGACAAGAGTCCAAAGCCTCCTATAGATGATTATGATGATTACAATGACTACGTCGATAATAAAACGTTTAAAGATAAAGAGTCAGTAACATCAAAGCCTACTGTGAGGGAAGAAGCAAATCTGAGGAAAAACAAAGCTCCAACAATATCTTCTTCAAGAAAAGCAGAATCTGATAATGATTACGATGAATATGGATTTGAAGATGATTATGAGGATTTTGAAGATCGAAAGATGAATAGAAAAATAACCCCAAGTTTGTCATCATCACGTTTTAAAAATACAAGACAATCTAAAAGAAAATCTACAACATATAATAATAAAGACTTTGAAGATTATGATGATTATGATGATTATAATGAGAATGAGACTACTTCCGCTAAGCCAACAAAAAGTAGTGATATTTCTTCAAAAGAAACTCCATCTTCTTCAATTAGAATTAGACCTTTCACTGGAAGAGGTCGTCCTACATATACTACACCATCACGATCTTCAACAAAAGCTTCTTTTACGATACAGTTTAGACGACCTAGTCGAACACGAAATTCTAGAGCATTCGGTCATCGTTCCGATAGCGAAAATGATTTCGACGATGAATTAAACGAAGAAGAAGAAGAAGGAGATATCGAAGCTAGTGAAGCTGTTGTTACCACAGCCACACCTCAAGTATTATCTTTCAGTAGGCGCAAACCTTTTGGCAGTAGTAGATACCAACCACCAGGCCGCAATTCTCCTTCTTCAACTACACCACGCCCTCTAAATTTAGGAAGAAATCGTAGGCCTTTTGGAAGATCCACAGCCATACACCCATCTCCAACTCCATCTATAAAAGACACTATTCCAGATTATGAGGAAAATACGACTGAAGACGATGATTTTGATGAATATGATGATATCAGTGATAAAAAGGAAGCAAACAGAAACCGAAACTTTCGCTCTACTCGTAGGCCACCCAGACTGAATCGGTTTGGCGAAAGGAGAAGCGCATCAAATAAAAGAGGATTCCGCCATAGAGAAGAAGAGAAGACAGAAAATGACGATTTTGATTCTACCACGCCTAATTACAGAAATTCCAGAAATAGACTCAATCAGCGCAAATCATCTAGAGGTCGGTATAATCGAAATAACTCTCCTTCTCTGAAATCATCTTTTAATTCTGTTAGCAGAGACGAAGACGAAGATTCTCAGTCTCTGCAACCTCTTAATAGAATACGTAATAATAACCGAAACCGGAGACCTTCTTATAACCCAAGAACTAGAAGACCTTCAAAAACAGCAACTGAAACACAGACAATTAAGAAACCCTATCTCACTGTTACTTCAGTGGTTACCACAGTAAAAACTTTACCAATATATCATGGGTTCCGAACATCTTATGCTACTTTAACAACAACTGCTTTGGATACAAGTATTATAAATCCAACTCAGTACTCTGAAATAGTAAGCGATGGAGTTACAAAAACTTTATTTTACTCTAAAACTGGATATCCAGACGGTATCGAAAACCTTCACACCACCATTACAGAAGTTGTGGTTACAACAACATCATTGGCATCAGTAAAATTAGTTCCAATAAAAATTGGTTTCAGTACCAGAACTGATACAATTACAGATATACAAGTTTTAACAACGCTATCTACTATGTATAGCACGATTACTCCTGATACTCCACAGCCTACTGCATTTCCCCAACAATTCCAACCTAACTTCTTTCCTCAGCTAGGCCCACAAAATCCAGTTTTCCCTCCAAATCCACAGAATCCGCAAGAGTTTGGATTACTGGCTTCAGCTAACTCATTTGTGACGACTCAAATTGTAACTTCAACTACTGTTGTACCAATCATTCTGAGAGGAAGAACTATTCTGAGTACTTTGACTACAACATCAACATCTGAATCCACTGTGGTGCGCGTACCACAGGTGCCTTCTGCTGCTCCATTTATACCGCAACCGTATTTTGCTTTCCAGCCTCTCACAACCCTATTAACTTTGTATGTAACTGGTGAACACGGGGAACTGAAACCCGTAGTTACGACAGTTACAGTACCTTTGTATCAGCAGCCTGTATTCCACACAAAAGTTGCAAGAAGCCTACAGCAGAATGCAGTAACAGAGCGCACATTAAAAACTGCAGATATTATGGACTTCCCGTTGAGATCTTCTATTGGTCATGAACACTCAAGGGATATGGATATTGATACTCATTATGATAAACTTCTAAGTTCAGGCTTAGAAGAAATAAATGACTTGGCAGAAATGAGCAGCTCATATATACAGACAGAACCATTAGATAACACCCGAATCACAAGCAGTCAATCAAGTGTTATATCATATGACGTTACAACTATATCAAAGGGTCCTTTAACTGAAATATATGAGCAGAAAGTCACGATAAATTTGAATGCAGCAGAAAACAGTGCTACTCAGAATGAAATTGATAGCTATGGAGATGTGTATGGGCTAGAATCGCGTTATAGCTTCCGTAAATTGCAACAGATTATTGAAGAAGAGCCCATATTTCGTCCGCAAAGAGATTTTACTCGGCTGAGGAGACCACCACCTGCAGTCATAGTAGCGACTGCGACAAATCCGTCTGCATTACCTCAATTGTCTACAAATACAAATCTGCCTCGAAGTAGATCAAGACAAACTTCATACTCCAGAAGGCCACCTGTGGAAATTTTCAATGAACAGCCTTCTCAGGCTGGTAACCTAGGAAACAAATTTCCAGGATCTTCTTTCGCTAGGAGACCACAGCACAGACCAGATAGGAATTTTAGGCCATTTATCGAGAGACCAAATCCTGTTTCAGCGAATTCCGAAAATGAGTTGATTCGGTCATTCGAATCTGATTCTCTGGTCGAACCAAGTCGTACTTTATCTGTGACACATGATCTTGTTAGAACAGGTAGTTTATTAACCTCACTTGAAGATGCTAATCGTAATTCTAAGGAAATCAATAGATTTGTAGGCTCGCCATTGGAAACTGAAAACCACGAAGGCTTCAGACCATTATCTAGTCCTCCTGGATTAAGACGAGGACCGGGCCTCACTTTGGATGAACCGAATCCTCAACCTGACATCAGTGTCAGACCGAGAAGGTTAAGAATCACAAGGCCAATAAATGGAGAATTCCCGAGCAATGGACTAAGAAGAATAACAAGAGTGAGAGCATCAAGCGCAGTCACATCTTCTATACCCACAGGAGATGAAATTACATCTACTTCTGAGAGACACTCTCTTACTATAACTCCTGCTGAAAATCAACCATCGCGATTGACAGATGTAATAGAACATTCAATTGAAGAAGCTGAAAATCCATTGTACGACGATGAAGTGAATTTAACTGGTGATAATAATGGAGGTCGCAGAACAGTAATAAAACGTTTAAGGCCGTCATTTGTACCAGGTGATGGTAGCGGAGCCAGGAGACCATTGGTAGTTCGCAGAACTAGAATACATGATCATTCAGCATCTTCATTTTCCCCTCTTTCCACAGCAGAAACAGAATCCCCTGTAACAGAAACTCCAGAGATTGCAAAAAGTGAGGACCTCAACCCTATAGCAACAGTGCCAGCAATTATTGAAGAAAATGAAGAATTGAATAACTACAATAAACCACCAATAAAGAAAATTGTACGGTTACGAAAACCTGAAAATATAAATTCTGTGCCTTCTGGACAAAGAATGCGCGTTATAATCAGCAGGAAACCTACAGATAGTAATATCATCATACCCAACTCTATCCAAGCTCGAGGGCCTGTCACTTCAGTATCTGATATAAGTGATAATCAAAGAAATAATTTCATTTCTGATAATGCTCACTTATTCCCAGACGATAACCATGATCTGGATGATTTTAACCGAGTAGCTGTAATCAATGAACAAAGATCCTCTGACTTAACAGCTCTTCCAATTTTAGCTTCAAGAGCTTTTCCCATTACTTATTATACAACACTAACGTACTTTACAACATTTTTACATGGGCCGGAAACAAAATATGCAAGCAGAGAAGCAGTATTTTCTAATGTAATAGAACAAACGTTGAATCCTAATTTGATTTCCGCAATTAAGTCCAATAATGGGAAAATAACACCAACCAATGGAGCCGATATCGTACATCTTGCTTCCAGGACATTAGGAGACACAACTACTATTGTAAATTTAGCATCAGTGCAAAATATTTTTAACAGTGATGTATATAAACTTATCAATGAGGCAGCATATGCAAATGAAGTTACTGTACCTCGATCTCAGCCTATTTCTACTAAAAGCATTAAAATTTTAAGTACTGCTAATATAGAAGCTATTGCAAAGCTTCCAAAAACGTATATAACTTTATTCACATATTCCTACACTTTTTACGATGGGATCAATAAAAGAGAATCTACAAGAGCAGAAACTATGACAAAATTAGCTACTGATCCTAGTCAGTTTCTTACAGAAAGCATTGGCTCTCAAATAGACGAAAACGGATATTTGATTGTTGCTCCTCAAACTAGAACAGTTCATTTGGGCTCCCGAGAAGTGGAAGGAACTACAACTGAGGTAAATTTGGGTTTAAAAACACTGATAAAAGTTGAAGGAGTTCACAACATAGCCATTGAAAAAACTCAACCATTCCAATATATTACACCATCTAGATCGTTTATTCCTGAATCGCACACAGCTATTCCAACTTCACAATCAGTGACTCCTCTGCCTACTTTCTCACTCGAACCTTCTTACGCCTCTGCTAATGAATTATTTAATACTAATCAACTAAACAAAGCTACTGAGACATCTCCTCTTATTTCTAGCATTGTTTATGAATCTTCAGCAGAAACGGTAGAACCCAAACCAGTGGTAAAAGTAACGTCGATCATTCACAAACCATCTGGTCCTCTAAGAAGTGGAGTATTTGTCCGAAGACCTGGTGTTCGAGTAAGGGTTCGACCAGTTGTATCCAGAAGAGTAGTGCCAAGCGATTTAGTATCATCTTTCGATATATCATACGATCTAAACAGTTTGGCTACAGATCGTCCTGAAGAATATTTGGTATCTCCCCAATATATACCACCAGCACTGAGTATGGGCCTAGTACCAACGCCAGTTTTGGAAGCGCCCTATTTTTCAACTACTCAACAAGATATCAGAGGCAGTGAAAATGAAATATCTACAGATGATTTGGCAGTTGGAGTCGATGATGCAACTTCCATTGATGGCTTGGTTGTACCTTCTAGGAAGAAACTAAAAGTTACTGTAAGAAGACCACAAAGTGAGAGTGTAAGCAGAACTCATACTAGGTTTGTCCTGCCATCGAGATTTGAGATCACCAGCAGACCAAGGTTTTACGTAGTTACCAGAACAGGTAAATAAATATACTTCTCTTTCATAAATTTGTTATGCAAAACTTCAAGTGTCTTTTATCGAAATCCTTGTTATTTAATGACATATTTATATACTGTGCAACATAAAGTTGATAGATGTTATGGCATATTTTAAATACTGTGTAGTCATGTCGTGTCATAAATAGTCATGTCAATTTAAACATTATACCTAAACAGAATTTGCGGCAGAGTCGGTACAACCACAGTGGTTGCACCAGGCGGCAGCACTTTTCGAATTTAGGAAAATATCGGTTGCAAAATTTAGATGACGCAAAGTTTGTGCTCGCAGGCAAAATATCTGGCTCCGAATTTTTTTCTAAATAATGGAAGAGACTGATAAGTTGGCTCATTGTAATGTTGCGCGCTTCCAACCTGCACGCAACAATAGTGGTGACTGCTATGAACTGGAAAGTATACAAAGTCTTGAGAAGGGTTTAAATCCCTTTTTATTCAACTTTAGAAATTACAGATGCGTGCTCTTGACGGTCACAAACTACGCCGGCCGACTCGGCGGTAAAATAAAAATAAGAACCTAAAAAAAAAAGAATAACAACAAGTGACTAACTACGAGGCTCTCCAAACGTAACTAACCTAACCGCGTTCTAAGATACCGCTGACAATTCAGCAAACAAATTCAGCTGACAATTCAGCATGAATATTACGTTGAAAGATTTAACAATCTGCCGAGGCAAGCACACAGGCCGAAACGCGTGGTTCTTCAATTTCTAACTAGCCACCTCCACGCTTGTGAAGCAAGAAAGTACACCTTCGAACTCGTTTTTCCTTCTATTTAACTCAGAATACTTCCGCTGACTATTTTGAATACTTTGCGCGTTCTACTAAAATAGGCTTGACAGGAAAGATAGTTTAAATTTAAAATAAATGTTAGTTAAAATAAATATAAACCCTACACATTTATCAAATTATTTTTGAATCATAGGAGCTCACTCTATAAAAAATAGAACTATGAGCTTGACGCTGTGTGAGAAACGAAAAGACACTAAAATATAAATAATGTTTCGATGCCGCGAGATCAAAATTAAACTAAATAAATAAAAATATTTCAAATATATTCTTATATATATGAAATATATATATATATTTATATATTTCAGTGTAAACTTAAAACCTAAAAAATGAGCATTTCTATATACTTTACTATATACTTCTATATACTATACTATATACTTTTATTAATGGTATGTAAATTATACTTATTATATAATTTATGAACATAAACATGATGACTCCTTGAAATTGTACGAGTGTATGATAACCTTACATAATTTCCAAATTTGACAGTGAAGTATGAATACGCTAAACGTTTTACATTTAAAATTGTAATAATCTTCACTATTTCTAGAAATCTGAATATTAGTTAATATTTTTGATGATAATATAATCAATTTTATTACCTTCTAAGAAAGGAAATGTAAAAACTATTCCAAACTGTAATTAGAAAATGTAATATTTAATAGGACTGTGTTAAAACTATTAAAAACGTGTAATAAATTTAAAAACATTTAAAATTTTTAATGGTATCATCTAAAACGCACAATTTAAAAAAGAAAAAGGAAAAGAGCGGAGCGTAAGTAAAAATAAGCTATAAAAGTATATACATAAAAAATAATTATTGCCGATTTCCCGGAAGAGGGTTGAGATATCAAAGAGAAATAACCCTCGCTCAAAAAATCCGCAATAATTTGTGTACGATCGAGTTTCATCTCTTGGTATGTTTGAATGGATTCCTTTAATCGTGAAAAAGTAATGCATAAAATGTGTATTTAAATGAATAATTCATAATTTCAAACATAAAAGTAATTCCCCGACTTGAATAAAAAAAACAATATTATAAAAATTTTGTTATAAAAGCTGATGGGGAGGTAGATGTAAGAATATTATGTAATATAAAGTTTTATATGATTATAATAGCTTAATTACATGTATATACAAAAATATAGGCCAAAATATATATATTCAATCCTAACTAACAGTTGAAATTCTATGACAGCTACCATAAAAAAGCGGATATTTATGAGATGTTGTAGTTATTGCGGAAGATGAAACCAGCTCACTATTTAGTCCTGGTCGAGAAAAACTTCTGCGCAGATGACTGGAGGAGAAAAATCACAACTTGCTTTATCAGGACTACTATTTCTTCGAATTGCCTTTGTAAACATAACTGGAATCCTTTGTAGGAACAGGGTGTTTACTTAAAACTGTGTTCGTGCAAATGTAGAGGATATGACACAGGTTTAATTACCCTTTATTTCTCACAGTTTACAGTCTCACAGTTTTCGCACTTCCGAATACAAAGACCAGTACTTAGGTTCTGAAGCGTAGAAAATAAGAAATAAAACTAAAAGAACTAAACTCAGATAACGCGGACTAGTAACTAGATAAAGACTAATAACGCGGAGCTTGGCCTTTTAAACTGTACATATGTAGTGAGTAGAATGCGGGAAACTACGTCGTCAAGTATCAAAGAGAACTAAGTTCTGGCCTTAAGGGCAGACAGGATTTGACTGAAAAGCGCGTGCGAGGTAAAGTGGCGAGAAGTCTTTCTCTCACTCTCTTGGCTAAAAGCCACAATTTAAATACTTAACAGTTTGCAAGCTCAATTTGCATAACTAATATGTTCGCTTTTTTTTTTTTTTTGGTCGGAAATGGAAAATGGGAGACGATAGCAAAGTGTTAAAGTAAAAATAAACGTTTAGTAAAACTTAAAATCCTTACAGCGTGATCATTAACACATCATCATTTTTATTTTAAATAAGAAAAATTCTTCACAAATACAAAGAAGGCGAAGCGAGAGACGTGGTTTATTTAAGCAGCATCTGATGAGAAAAATGTTGCATACTAACCGCAGTCTTATCTATAAGCGGGAAATGTGTTTTGTCAATCCTGAGCAGAGACTGGGCTAAAGATTTCACAGTGCAGAGAAATTGTAGGGAAAAAGTGACGTAGCATGCTGGGAGAGTGACGCAAGATGGCGCAAAGTGTATCCTTTGAAGCGGGGATACGTTTAATTAAAATTAAAATATTTGAAGGTCTATTGCCAGTTGTTTCCAATTAAGTTAATTAATCTTGTTCATATTTTACATTTTACAAATATATATGTATATTTCATATTCAATTTATCAGTAACTACATTGCTTAAATATATTTTTGATTCTAGGTGCCCTTGGTGTAGTTTCAAACTCTCAGCGACCATTTACGGTAAAAATTAGTAGGAAGCTCAAACCGACAACTACTGAAATTGGACTTGGACCTCCTTCTACTACAGTTATATATGACACCTATACTACGCTTACATCCGTACCAGTTATTTTCGGTTTGGATACAAGTTTCAGAAATGTTCTCCTAACCACTTCCTCGCCCATTACTGTTTCTTTTGTCCCAACACCAACTTATGAATCAGAATCTCCCATGATAATGCCATCATCTGTTATTCTGACTTACTTCACAACTACAACATTCACTATACCATATATTGTAGGAAATGAGACTTTGCTGACCACTTTAGAAGAAACCAATTCAAGAATAGTCACTCAGACTCTAGGTAAGTAGTCAGGAATTATTAAAAATTGATTTAAATTATCAGTTATATTCACTGAAAATACTTGAAAAAAGCATTAGTATTACATAGCATCGAAATAAACCAATTGAAATATCTAAACTAAGGCAAAGTTCAAACTTAGATAACTTACGTTTGACAGCAAAACTGAAACTTTTTATATAAAATCAACCCAAACCTAAAGGTTGATTTTTGCTTTCATTTGCATTAGATTAGCTAAAATCACATGGCTGGTGAACGCATAATACTAGGTCAGATTTATTTTATACAGTAGTTTCTAATAAGAATAGCAAATACAAATTAAAGTATATGCAATGAATATTTTTATTTTGTTTTTTAAGTATTAATTTGTGATTTTCAAATGATATTTTTTTAACATTCCTTATAATAAACAAGCTACTTTTCCTTTTAAAGCACAAATATAAGTCCACTTGCTATACATTAAATTAAGGTATAAAAATTATTTTAAAGACGTAAATTTTTATATTTGGCACAATGCTTTGTCTAATAAGTACACATATGTGCTTTACGAGTTTCTGGAGAAGACATAAATTTATCTGTAAAAGGGACGCTCAGACGGTACAGTGGTTAGGGAAGACCGACCGAAGGGCCCGGGTTCGAATCCCGGAGAAGGCATGGATAAAAATTGTCTGTCCCTTGATAGGAGGTAACATTGGCCACCCATTAGGTGCCTCCGCAATAAAATGGCCACCACTTCTGGCCTTAGGCGTGGCCAATGGCGTTATAGGCAAGCGCCCGCCATTGGGGAAAAAATCTGTCAAAATCTGTGAAAGTTATGCTTGGAAGCATTACTTAATAAAGCTGCGTTATTTTATAGATAATTTTTATAGACCCGCATATCAACAGAAAGTTATTAAATGCAAAGGATTTGGCTCACTGCTTATGGCAGTGTCCTTGAGGGCTACAATGCCTTAGAAAGAATGTCTCCATTGAAGACGTGCCAATGGGACAGACTTCGTATTTACGTAATACATGGAAGAAAACTCATGAAATTCTTATTCGACTAATGCGCATCCAGGGCAAAGTAGCCAGGACAAACTATGAGGCGCGTTACTTACTGATTAGGCATTCAAAATGTTTACAACAAGATATTATTAGACTCTTTTTAATTCCTAGATTTAAAGCATTAAAAGAAATAAAAGAAAAACTGAGTAATTTAAGAATATAATTAAAGTCTTTGAAGAAATTTCAATAATGTAGCTACTTTGAAAAGGGTTAAATAATGAAGTTAAACAGTTTGTATTTAATATATACACAGAAACTCTTTTAGTTCATACCAACATCTATTTGACTATCTATTATTAACTATCTATAGTTGAGCAATCAACCAGCATAGAAGCTTTATGGATTTTCTCGTACATATTGTTAAATACAGTGCAATTTTCAAGCTATTCTTTAATGAAGACACATTTTGCCTTAATTAGATAACTGTGGATTATAGTAATGAAATTATGTGGATAATGTGGATTATAGAAATAATGTGGATTATAGTAATGAAATTTTTTGTTTCAGATATATCATAATAAACTTTAACTCGATTCATTATAAGCCACTAAACTCACTGAAGTGTAACTCATCATTTCTTTGAAATTCCAAACTTTGTCAAAATCTTTGTACAACTCCAAAAATCTTTGCAATTTAAGTTAATGATTTAATCTCTTAAACGTGGTGCAAAATCAGTATTTCGTGAAGCCGCCATGTAGATAATATCCATGTGGGAACCTGCTTGTTATACTGCTTTGATTGGAATCCATGATTCATTACTACTGTCTAGTCAGGGGCGTAGCTAGAGGGGGGCAAGGGGGCATCTGTCCCCGGGCGCAGAATCAAAGGGGCGCCAAACTGATGTTACGATATTTTAGAATTAAATGTTTTCCATCCTTGGCAAGCAGTAGGGGGCGCGAAATCTTCAGTTGTCCCTGGGCGCTGAAAACCCTAGCTACGACTCTGTGTCTACTCACAGAAAGAGATGGCCGTTTCTCATACATATTCTGTTAGCAACATATCTGGCAAATCTACAGGCTAGGAAAGAAGCATCATCTCCTTAACTGCAAAGATGACTAGGAAATACGACTCTAAAATACATGCTAAAAGATGGCACATATTATTGTACCTTCCTAATGTACATGTGGTCATCACTATGGTCTCTTAGAACAGGACTCATTGAAAAGCATAACTTGCTGCCAATGCAGATTTCTGTGTGTGCGCGTGTTGTAGTTTAAGGCATCTATGATTCATTTTTAAAAGACTCTTTCTCAAAAGAATGTTTACACGCAATCGTGTACATAGCAGATTCCGTTGAATAGTGGAAGTAGACAACGTCATATCTGAAACTGCACCAATGCTATGCCAACGCTAAAAGAAAGCTGCAGTTTTGCAAGTGCCATGTGGATGAGATAGTTATAATTCCTTGATGTTACTGCATTTTATATACCATTGCCAACATTTTATCGTATCCATTTGTCCTTAATTCACGGCTTCCATACTCGCATGGTATGTGATAATTTATATTTTTTACAGCAACAGCCTTAAATTCCAAAAATCCTTCTGCATGGGAGTGAACACCACTGGAAATCTACAGTTATTTCATATGATGCCTTTTGACGTGAACAAAGTATAATAATTTCTTTGGGAAAGTTTCCAGCTAACTGAGGACAATATACTAATTGTCTGGCTCGTCTACGACACACAATTATTCTGTTGATGCTGCGGACCCTAAACAGGCGCATTTACCCTGCATTTCTAATCATTTGCAAGTCAGATTCTGCTGACCATTTCCTAAATGTGCCATTCTATTCTTATTTCCTTCATGACATTGTGATTTTCATAAAGATGCGTGTATTTCATATATGCCCTTTACATGTAATGAATCTGCTTGCAGATTTAATATTGTTGTTGTGAAGTAGCATGAAAAGAAAGCGAAATTTGTTATGCATTTTTTCATTTTATCTCTTATAATGAAAATCTTTCATAGAATAAAACGTCATTTTATATCAAGTAACTTAACTAATATTTCTTTCCCTTCCAATGGCGGACACCAGACAGTATAGGCGTTGGCCACTACTAAAACCGAAAGCCGTGATCACTTTATTATGGAGGCACTTAACAGGTGGGCCGCCGTTGCCTCTTATGATGGAACAGACAATTTATATCCATGCCTTCTCCGGGATTCGAACTCGAGACCTTTGGTCAGAGTCACTAACCATCTTCCCCTCTGGGCGACACTTAACTGATGCTTTATCTATTTATCAAGATAAAAGCAGCATAATTTTCTACATTGGCTTATAATGTAATGAACGATTGTATTATTTCTATAAAGTAGGGATATGATGCTTAAGTCAATTATCTATAACTTTTTTATTTTGTTTATGAAATTAAAGCTTCTTTTTCAGTTTGTAGTGTACCCTTTTCAATTTTTAATATAATTATGCTTTCCTATCACTTACACTAAATTTGTTTTAAATTTTAGATGGCTTGTATGCACTTTCGTATTCTACAATTACAAGAACCCCATTTGAAGGAGAGATTATACCGACTATAAGCCCAGTTACTAGCATAGAATACGGAATCGAAGGTCCAACAACCTACACTTTGTCATCTGGTAAATAGCTTTAATATTGTGTATGATGATCATAATGGCAAAGTATATAGTATGTGTCGTTCACGTTGCTTATACAATGGTTACCTTTCCTCTTTACCGTTCGTATTGTAAGTGTTCTGTTTTATTTTGTTTTGTTATGTACAGGGTTTCAGAAAAGATGACTACAAGCTTTATTTTACTTACCGTATTTGACGGCATATAAGACGCACCCTTATTTAGAAGGCCACACACATGCAGATGTAGAAAACGTTATGTGTGTCTAGACCTTTATCCGGAATAAAAATAGCATTCAGTATTGAAAGTTAACCTGTGTCCTTCACGTATAAGACGCAGGTAACTTTTTTTGAGATCAAATTTAGGAAACAAAAGTGCGTCTTATATGCCGTCAAATACGGTAAATATCAGTCTTGGGCACTTGCTTCCGATTAAGATGTTCTTTAATATCAGGCAGAAAGTTTCTGAATTTTTTTCAGTTCTTTGAATAATTGCGTTTTTTTGGTATAAAATATCGGATTAGCAAAAACGTAACTTTTGATTTTTAGTATGAAATAAAACTGAATTTTTTCTATGCAAAAATGAATTTTAATCAGTCAAATATCTTCCAATCTGTTCAATGATCTTTTGCCATCTTTGTGGTAACTTCATGATTCCGCTCTCAAGGAACTTCTGATCTTAATTGGCAAACATCTCAACCAAAACCAATTTGAGCCCATCATTATTACTGAAAAATTTACTATTTAAAATGTTTTGTAAACTTCGAGATAACTGACAGTCCGATGGCGTAAGGTCAGTACTACATGAGGGATGAAATTTCTAGTGAAAAGGCAAACATCGCTATCTGTGAGATTGAGCTTATTTTGGTAAAGGGTATAAGTTTTCCCTTAGTTCACTAACCAGTTATTTTAATTTTCGTATCTTTCTGAATTATTTATTTCCCCTCGCATTACGTCACCAGGGGGAAATTAAGCGGGCGAAAAAGAGTAGTAAAACGGCGGCTGCAACAAGTAGTTTAGACAGAGCGTAATTTCGCTAGTATAGCGCACGTTTGCGGTTTTCTCCTCCCGCTGTTAATCTTAATTGCAGTTATGCTTTCTGGCCATTTATTTAGTCTATCTCCGGTTTAGTTGCTGAGTCAGCCTGTTAGGTTAAATTAAATTGTGAAGTCTAGCACTACCTCTTGGCGTTCGAATTAATTTTCCTTAAATTTACCTTTAAGTTCTCACCGCAAGTAGTCGGTGTTTTTTGTGAACAGGAAGTCTGTGCCTTTCTGTTAAAGAGTTGTCTTAAATAAAAAGAAGTCTTTTACACCCTTTATCTGTTGTGTCACGTTTCACGTCTGTGAGAGAAGTCGCCTGGCTAAACTTTGAGATCTGGAAACTTTGTATGATAGCATAAAGGACCAGATCTTATAAGGGTACACATTCCGTCTAGCTATCATTTTATTTAATATAGAACACATGAATTAAACTATATCAGCTATTTTTTATGACTGTTTCTTTTCTAAATATGCATTTTTCTTTTACAGTGCCTCTTATTACTACGTATGTGGACCAACCTTCAGAAATAACAAGACCCTTTGAAGAAATATCTACGCCTGTGGTGTATGAAACTAAAACCTTTTATACAACCTACACATTTTTTACTACTTTCTTCGCTGGAACCGAACCTGTGGTTTCTAGTTCAGAGCAAGTTGTTACGAATGTGGTTACAGTACCAGTTACGAAAGAAATTTCAAGTGTGCCATTTATTAGTCCATCTGTTACAGGGCCTGTAACTGTTTTTGATACCAGCGAAACCGTGGTTACTAAAACCAACTACAATACTGTTACTTTCTATGCTACTTTGTTTTCAGACACAAGCTCATTTGTGACTCCAATAGAAGAAATCGAAACGCAGTTGCAAACAATTACTGAAACTTATACTATAACTAGAACTATTCTTCCTACACCTTCACCCTCTTTGCTTCCAGCAATTGCAACAGAAACGACGACAGCAACGAGTATTGAGACTACAGAAAAATCAGAACTGGAACAATCTGTACTTGTAACTCAAACCTTGTATACAACATTTACGAACTTTGTGACTCTGTTCCAAGATTCAGAAACTATAGTTACTAATCTTGAAGAAACCGTATCTAATATTGTCACTCTTACACTACCGGCGGACGTCGCTAGTTCATTGACGTTAACTTCATCGCCAACAGTTGAAAGCATTCCTTATGACGTTTTCACCAGCCAACAGTCTGCCGTATATACAACAAGGGAAGTTTTGAATACTCAAACACATTACATAACTTTATTTAATAACGGGGAAAGTTTATTATCTACTATTGAAGAAGTTGTCACCACTTACGTTACGGAACTGGCTACATTATCAACTCCATCGTACATATTAGAAACCTCTTTTACCTCTTCACCTGAGTTATTGCTTGTATCCTCTAAGTTACCAGTGTCTTCATTTAACTCATTTACACCTCCAGAAGAAACGACAGAATCAACTTCAGAAATTCATACATATCAACCAGAGCTTGTGCCGTCTATCAGGACGATTTATTCGACTCTTACGTTTTATACAACTTACTACAGCGATACAAGTTCTATAGTTGCAAGTCAAGAAGAAGTTCTAACAAGTTATGTAACTCTCTTTGTTCCTCCTTCACTAATTACATCTACTGAAACTACCACAGAAGTGACAAGTTCAGAGTCTACAACTGATCCATCAGTTTATGTATTTACTACAACAGATTATTCCACTTTAACTTTGTATACCACTCTCTTTAGTGGTGACGATATTGTCGTAATCTCGAGTGAGCATGTTGTGCCAGACGTTATCACAGCGACAATAACACCAACGTCAACATCTTCGCAATCTGAAACAGCTACATCAGGAGAATCTGTTTTAACATTCTTAACAACTTTCACATATTACACAACATACTTTAGTGGAACCGATCCTGTTGTTGCATCGAGTGAAAGTGTTGTTACTCAGTTTGTGACAATTGAAGCACCACCTTCTATTACACCTACATCGGAAATATTGATAGAGTCAACTCCTGTTGAAACAATTCTTGGTGTATCTACTGCAAGTGCAGGAGATATTATCAGCAGTTTTGAAACCGATATTAAAATTATTGGAATATCCAGTGCTATTGATACTAGTACAGCTATCTCTCCTAGCATTGAAACTATGATACAAGTCGAAAGTAAAGTTCATTCAGAAGTAGGCTCAACTCCCATTATTTCATCATCAATAGAATCGTCCGCGGAGAGTGATCTAATGAGCAGTAGCATTGATGAACTAAGTGCATTTATAAGTAGTTTTGAAGTTAGTAAATCTCCTGTAATATACGAACCTTCCGAAGAAATATCATCTAAAGAAACATCTCTTCCAGTTACATCAACCAGTATCATTACAGAAGATACTGAGGTAGTTGGTATAGATGGACACATTACTACTTTAATGCCTAGCGATACACTGAAGTTAGTAACTGGCTTTGACGGCTTTGTGACAAAGGTTCCTGAAATTGCAACAGTGTCTTTATCACCAGTTTTTATACCCGAACTGAAAGAACCTACTTCCAGTACTCCATCTGAAATTAAACCTGCAACAGTTATAGAGTTATCCGATTTGTTAAGAGGTAATACTGCATTGGGTGGAGATATTGGATTAGCCATCCAAGACATTGTGAGTCGCTTAACAGGCAAGAAAAATAAAACTGAAACGGATAGTGCTACAACTGAATTTACCACGACTGATGTGACTACAGAAGAACAAAATGTAACGGAACTGACAACCGAGACATCTAAATTCACAGAAACTACTACAGAACAAGGTGAAACGGAAATTACATCAGGTACAACTACCGGAAGTATAACTACTGAAGAAGATCGGAAGCCAACGAAAGATATAGATTATCCAATTTTCATTCTCCCCGATAATGCTAAGAACGACAGTGGAAAGGAATCTTTACAACTTGCCCCTGTTTATGTTTCATCTTCGGTTCCAACGGAAAGCAAGAAAACTTCCACATTGCAAATTTCTACATCAACTGCCGTGAGCAACAGCGAACACTCACCGTCGAAATCTATAGTTCCTCCTGCATCTGTGTCTACAAGTGTCATAACAGGTGCAAGAACTGTATTTATAGTACCTACAAAACAGTCCACAGTAACAGATCACAGTAAAGATGCATATAGCATAGTATCCGATAGTGAAAAAAGAATTCCAAGGTTGGAGACTTCAAAGGAATTTTCTGTCAATTCATCTATGACTTCTAAAGCTATTACAACAACTGTTACTCCACAATTAAAACCAAGCATTGGAACCAGTGTCGTTAGTGGTATAAGAACTGTCTTCTTTGGCTCCATTTCCGGAAAAACTACCAGTCCACAGCCTTCGGTATCAACAGCTACAGATTCAATATTAGGACGCGCTAATGCTCAGCTGGAAGGTAGTAAAACCTTCACGACTGTAACTAAAGATGGCCAAACTGTTATTAGTAGAACAACTTCTGGGGCCACAACAATATTTTTCCCTGCACAAATTCCAAAATTCACTGTTCCTGTTTTATCCACTCGTTACGTAACAAGTGTAGAAAGCATAACTAGAACATTAGCTCTTACTACAACAAGGACATATTACACACGGGACTCAACGTTAATGGTTCCCTCTGTTTATACAACTACAATTCCACCAAGGACTTTCGTATCGACTATAATAGGAACAAGGACGATTCTAGGTATTTTACCAGAGCCATCAGAAACAGTCCAAATCCATAAAACTATTCAGCCTTCTGAGCGTACAACTACTGTTACTACAACTACACTCATATTTAATTCAATACCGTCTACAGTTATTAGAACTTTAGTTTTGCCAACGGGAGTTCCAACGAAAACAATAAGATCCGAAACCTCATCTTCATACGCAGTATCAGACTCTGATATTTTTAGTGCAGGAACGGAGAAACCAGCAAAACCACCAGAAGTTGGAGACAGTACGTCTCTTTCGAACACTGATCCCTTCCAAAATACTGAAGAAAGGATTATTTCTGAAAAGCCACACCAGAAAGCAAGAGATGAGACTTATTTAAGAGCAGCTGGTCCCAGACTTCATGATTTTAGACCTGATGTCAGATTGGAAGAAACAGTTCCCAGACCACCGATCGTTGTAACTGAGAGTGTACGGCCAGAAAAGGATCCTTTTTTGAATGGCAGAAATGGCATTTGCGATCCTAAGTGTCAACCATATAAAAAAGAAATCTGCAAAGGAGAAAAAGGTTTTTGGACTTGCCAATGCCGACCTGGTCATGCAAGAAGAGATGAACATGAAATCTGTAAAGGTAAATTAAAGCAGTCTGATTCTTCTGTTTTTTTAAATGGAACTGAGAGTTACAAATTAACATTTTATTAAAAGAATTTGATTTTCAAATGAATGTTTCAAAATTTTAGTTATTAACATTTTAATATATCTTATACTGCATTGTAAATTATTCATTTAGTTCCATTATTTTACATGTATTTTCAATAATTACGGATCTAGCAAGTGTTTTCTTGTAAAGCGGTATTAAGTAAAATGTTTATTTTCACAATTTACAAAAGTAATTTTAAAAAATTTCACATTCAATCAAATAATTGTTTTCCGAATCTCAATGATAATGTATTTTTCTCAAAAACCATGTATTCATTTAAACAGCATAATTTTTGTTTGTTATGGTTCTTTACGTTTTCTAAAATTATATTTAATTGTATATAGAAATAAGAAAATATGCTACCTGAAACGCAAAGTTTAGAATATTTATCTCAGTTATGCTCTATCGCAGAGTTTTTTAAACTGGGGAGTCGCGACCCACAGTTTAAGAAATTGCATCAGGGGATTGCCAAAAGTTTTACCAGATTTTATATTTCTTTAATTTATTATAATAATTTTACGATTACCAAGTATATTTACACAATGTATCTGAAAATAGATAAAGATAAGACCTAGAAAGAACAGAACAAAGAAAACATACAAAGAAAAAACAGACAAAGAACAAAAACAGACAAAAAAAAAAAAAAAGCGTTTCGATGCATTCTTTTTATAATATAAATGTTCATTTTCCTTGCTTTGTACGGGCCGCTGTCATTTCGTCTGTTACTTATTCAAAATTTTCACATTGTTCTATGTCTTAAAATTAGAAATTAAAGTTGATGACCTAAAACTGCAATAGTATATTATAGTACAAGTGAAATGCAATAGTACAAGTGAAAAAATTGACTGTTTCACTCACGCGTGTCGGATTTTCGCAATGCTTATTGGAATCCCACAAAAATTTTCGTAAAAGTTACAGGGTTCTGGGGTTGCGAAAAACGTCTTAGTGATAAAAAGGGGTCGCGAGTGAGAAAAATTTAAGAAGCCCTGCTCTATCGAATCAGACATTCCATAATTACTCTTTTACGATACTCTCTGTAATGAGTTTTAGTAACCCTATTTAAAAACACTTTGCTTGAAATAATATTCAGTATATATACAGATTAAATGAAATTAAAAAATTAAAGGATTAAATTAAGTCCAAAATTTAAAACGAATTTTGTATTTACGCTACCGTACTTTGGTTGAAATGGGTAATACCAATCAGAAACTGTATTTGAAATCTTTATTTAAATTTCTTAATTCTTGTGAGCGTGAAAAATCGGAGTTTACGATCTACCTGTCGTCATAATCCTCGAAATTTTATTACTGCTTTCTATATTTTATCATTTAAAAATAGCATCTTCTGTTAAATTTATTTATGAATGTGAAAAAAAAAATCTTTTTCAGAAGAGAAAAGAAAGCATAGCGTCGATTGAGAATTTTTTCACTTTTAAAAGTATTGTTTAGTCACCCCCTTTAAATAATGAAGATGGTACCAGATCATATAGAACTTGCAGAAACTGGCCGGAAACAGAGCTTTCTCCGGAGCACATCATTAACTGTCCGGCAATACTTTGTTTGCAGCTCTGCAAAGCTTGGGGAATTTCCATTCCAGGGAGAGTTATAAGTGATAAATTGTGGAACTGGCAAAAGCTATGATTTCTACGCATTGATCCATTTGATTTCTCAAAGGAATGACATCAATCCACCTTTAAATACAGTAACAGCTAGGCATTCATCGGCTTAGAAATACATCCAGCTTAGCATACGTCCTATCTGAACGACAAAAGTTTTGTTTGGCATACGATATTTGTTTGAAATACGACTCGAGTTAGATGAGTCGTAACTGGAGGCCCTAATATATTTACCTCTTTCGACACTATGCTAGGACTGCCCATGAGCATCAATATGCCTGTTATTACTGTTCAGTAAATAACCCGATAAAACTCCAATATTTCAGTGATTTTGTACTTTATCGTATAAATTCATTAACAATCAGTTTCAGGAAAGTAAATGAGAAGAATCATGCAACGAAGTAAATTGTTATTATGACCTTGGTGGGGGATGAAAAATACAGTGTTTAAAAATATAAGATGTTATGCTAAAATAAATAATAAATAAAAAAATATAAGATGTTAAAAATATAAGACTTGGCTGTAACATTGCGAAGGGGGAAATCGATTACCAAACAAACATCAGAGATGCCAAAGCATGTTGAAAAGTTGCTTTGGATCTGGATAGCAGAAAAGCGTCTATGTACAGTACGATGTGCAGTGCTTCTTTATGTACAAAATATATTACACTCACTGCATTTGTATTTTAAAGTTAAACTAATGTTATAAATATAACAATGTGTTTTTACTTCCTTGTACGAAGTAAAAAGGAAGTATTGTAATCGCAAAAAGTTTCAGGCAGTACATTTCAACGAAAATATTCGTTTTGACCGCTATCGAATGCAATTTAACGATGTTTTTGCGTGATATCTGTACGTAAGGACAGAATAAAATACTCTTTTCCTTCAAAAAATTATAAAACTGCTTTAAAATTAATTCTGAAGAGAATTGTTTGTGGCGTCTGTACGAACGTATGTATGTACGTGCGTACGTACGTACGTACGTATCTCGCATAACTCAAAAACGAGTAGCCTCAGAACGTTGAAATTTTGTATATAGGACTGCTATAACATGTAGATGTGCACCTCGTATTTTGGTTGCAATCGGCCGCACCAAACGTATATAAATATATTTATATATATATCCACTCTGTTACCCGGCTCAGTGATCTCAGTTTCTTTAGTCTTATATGCTTGTAAATTGTACATTTTCTGCTTTAAAAATGATTGAATTATGTTGTTTTTATCTTCCGGTTAAGAATTTTTATGCCTTTAGTAAATCTGTGTGCAATATTTTTAGAATTATCAGCAGTTTTAAAGTTGTTTAATTGCCGCTAAGCCTTTCTTAATGGCGGCCATTGATGTTTACATTTGAAACAGGAGACTAGTGGATTTGTTGCCAATCTAGAGAAACTTAGCTTCGCAACAACAAAGATAACGCATTCATTTATTATTGCCAATTAAATCATGCTTAATTCTTTCTAGAATGTTTTCGAGAAAATAAGTGTTTGAAATTTACTTCGTAATTTTTAATATAGTTATTTTGAGTTTTTATGTATTTTTACCTTCTCGCGAAGTGAGAACTGAATTAATTAAATGAGAAATACTCAATCGTCTGTGAAAAACTGTTTCTTTTCTTTTTTTTTTTTTTCTTAATTTCTTTTATACATCATTCTAGCTTTATTATAGTATTTGAATAGAACATGTGGCAACGATTAGATAATTCTGTTCTTTAAATGATATAAATTTTGTGCATTATGAGTTATAATGTGAACGAAATATAATACTGAAGGGGAGTCATAAGTTTTGCGCAACACAAAAAGTAAGAATTTTAGCTTATTTTCGAGTTTTAATAAGTCAAATTGTTTTTGTCATACATATATGAAATTTTCAGTGTGTCATCTTTATACATAGATGATTAACTTTCTTGATTTATTTTACTTAATAGTGTATAAGAATTTGTTTTATAAAGAAAAAACTAACTGTATTTTCCGAAAATTTAAAATTTGTACTGAAGCACTGCGCGCAAACTAACAGTAATACAAATTTAGTTACAGTAATAATTTTTAAGTGAATCTAGCGCCAGAGCGTCGCTATGGTAAACAAATACTAGAGTGAATTTTAAAGAATGCATTTATTCTATTGTGGTTTATGCGCTGTCGGCGAAGTAGACTTAATTCAATCCAATAAGTTTAAATGAAATGCAAGAAAAATGCGTATGATTTAATATTCCGTACAAGGAAGTCATGTGGTGTACACATCAGAATTTTTAGAATAATGGTGTAGGGTTATTATCGAAATAAACCAGTTATTATGATTTGTGTCCTTACTATAACTTCTCTTTTCCGTTTCCTCACCAGAATGCAAAATAATTACCTAGCATTTAAGCTGAGGTTTTTGGAGGTTTAGACGCATCGTGTTTCTGGCTACCCGTGCAGGCTACATTTAGTTCCTACAAGCTGGGGTCCTCTAATGGCCGTGCGATAAAATTCGTGAACACTCGTAGTTCGGTCCGAGATCAAAATCCCGCGAAAAGGCTGATTGCATGGATGTTTTTATGATTTTTCTCATGAGTAATGTGTATTCGAGCCAGTTTCCCTTTGAAAGTCTTTCACGAAGACATCCATCCCCTTAGACAGATAACTCGCGAGTGCTTTCTCAGAATCAAATAAACCAAACCAAACCAAACCAAACCAAACCTACCAGCTCGGATAGTTGTAGTTATTCAGCTTGTGTTATTTCGCTGCTGACAAACTGATTTTTAGCTCCAGTTAGAATTACTGAACCAGTCTAGAGTAAAATTTTAATTATGTAGTTTTTAACTACCGTTCCACGTTTAACTTGAACTTGTCAATTTAGTTACGTCACCACGAGTTGTGGCTAATTTTGCTAGCATGTGAAAATGCATTTATGTTCTAAATTATCTTTAAATAAAAAATGGTTGTTTAATCCTTTCCATGATTTTGTAGTTAATTCAAATAGAGCGAGATAATTCTCTTTACGTCTGTTGAGGTTGTTGGATTAGTTGACTTTAACAGATCAAATGAAAGCCCATAAGGGGTTAATTATTTTCCCTTTGTTCATTCGTTTGAGGCGCAAAAATCGCTTTCCAATAATGTACAATTTTAAGCCAGTGCTCCAGCATATCTGATAATCCAGCATCGCTCTCCTGAATTGCTGCCCAATGATCTCGAACAGGTTAATAACGTATATCGAGAGACTAGTGCAGTAGAATATCATGAATTCTTATGTTTTACAACAAGAATTAAAGTGATTCTAGGTGAATAATTCTTTCACATTTTTTGAAACTGTTATTACCGATATTTTTGTTGAACATTTTTTATTCTTTATATTTGGTGTTTTTGGTGTATTTAATTATGGCAAAGCACACTACGGCTATCTGCCTAAGGGAAGGAATGCCTTCGTGGAGGACTTTCTAAGGGAAACTGGCTCCCTTTATATTTGAAGAACGCTAAATGGGAAATATTTGCTAAAAAAATCTTACTTACAATATTATTCTTGAATGTTATAATCATATGGAAAATAGAATACAACTCGAAGACATTTCTGGATAAGCCTGCATATAAAGCTGTAGAGTCGTTAAATTTGTAGCAGGATATGTAAAAAATGTGCAATGCCTTCACCGGAACTTAAACCTGAACTTGAATACGCGCCTAATGTGCTACCGTTACACCACGAAGGCATGCTGGAAGGAGGGAGAAAGTACCTTATATATTGCACCTTTTAAAGGGCGACTGGAAATTAGGAGACTCAATCGCCAATCCTGGAGGTGACGACTTATTGTCCTCCACCTTTTATTTCGAACCCCATTTGTAGAAAAATCAGCGTTTTTGAGGATGGAGACGTGAAAAATGTGGAATGCCCTTGACGGGATTCGAACACCAGATCTCCCGAATACGCGTCGAGTGGGCTTCCAGTTACACCATGAAGACATGCTCAAAGGGAGGGAGAAAATACGTTATAAAGTCTTTATGTTTTATCTTCTAGCTTTACATTCATACTTTATATTTTCACTTAATATTATCACTTTCAATATAATAGCATGAAAAATTTCTTTCTTAATAACTAAAGGATTATTACCTGTCGAATATAACTTAATGGTATGTATTTTGGTTTTCAGAGATTCAAACATTTGTGGTGCTTTTGAAGGTTATTAAGTTCGGAAATGAAAGCATCGATTACAACAATGCGCTTTCGGACAGCAGTTCCGGGGAGTATAAGAATTTCGTAAAGAACGCAATGGAAGGAGTAAGTTTTATGATATAGAAATTTATACTAAATTTATTTTAACAGCAAATAGAATTTTGTATTTCTTCATTCTGGTGCATCCTTTCCACAGTCTTATCATATCAGAATTCACGAGTTTTTCGTAAGCTAGTTAAATATTAATTCTTATTCCTTATTTCGTTTTGTTGAATTTCGTATGGTGACAAAAAAGGGAAACATAGAACAAATAAAATATATCGAAAAATTATAACCAATATAATTCTTTCAAAGAGAAATAAGAATAAACAATTTTTTTAAATTTCTGTTTTCTAATATCTTTTGAAATTAATATACTGTAAATATCCTATAAATCGGTATCCAGTTGTTTAAAACACCCTATAAACCAGTAAGATAACATTATTAAACAATTCATTTGGTAATATTCTGTAATGCTTTGCAGTTGCTTCGCCCTATTAGTTTTAGCCCTCTTTAGTTTGTTCAAAGCTTTACGCTTATTTATCGCTTTCTTTCTTTAACATATTTATTTAAAATGCTTTCAAAATTTAATTAAAATATTGAAAAGAGAATACAGACTAAAAGTGTTACTTTAATAATTCACTAAAAGCTGGGTATTATTGTTTGATTAAAAGCAAATTTACGTCCAATTTTATTGGAAAAATATTTCATGAACTAGTAATAACGATTTCAAAGTAAAAACTGATTAAATGTCGTTACGCTATGAATATATTTATTTGCTAATGCATTTTTCTTATTAAGTACATTTTCAGAGCTCCTATGTGTAATTGTTTCATTCCTCAATACATATAATAATGCGAAAAACCTCGTTGTATTACAAGGAACAATTTTAGTCCATTTAACCAGCATATTTGATAATTCAGCATCGCTGCCGTAAATAGGTCGGATTATCAGACATTTTCTGTATATCTCAAGGTAAGCTAATTTATTTGCAATGAAAAACACCGCTTAAGTATCGTAGAATTTCCCTGTGTTTAAGAACACTTACTGTGTGCTGTAAAAATATTCTCTGTGCTGCTTACACTCTGCGCTGTAAAAATGTATGCCAATAGTTCGGGAATTATTCGAAGAGATGATCGTTATGAGAGATGCTAGAAAAGCTGGAAATGACATTCAGTACAAATATTATAATAGGATTTTGAAAATTTATTAAACTGAAAATTTTTTGCAGCTTTTTCTTTATGTGCTTCACTAAATCTTAACTTTTTGTTCATCAGCCGAAGTCTATAAATATGCTGAAAAAAGTTTCACATTCTTAACTCTAAGGAAGACCTAACTTGAATAAATTTAAGTCAATACCTACAAAAATTATATGAAAACATCCTTTACTTTCTTTTTCTTATAAGTTCAAATAATTTTCACAATTCTGAAGCGATTAAAAGATTTTGAAAAATCTCATTGATCAGTAATTTCAATAAATGAAATGAGATAATCATGAGATGTAGGAAATCAGAAAGATTATAAACGTAGGGTAGACTCTTGAAATCTTTAAGTAAAATGTAACTTGAAATATTAATTTTAGAAAAATATATAAACGTCATCCTCCATTTCCAACATTCTACCTTCGATGCTAATTTTCTTAAGTAGAAATTTAATGACGCTTGTAAGGTATAATTTCTAAAGAAAGATTTACTCAAATATTTTTTCTATTAGATAGGCTGAATTACTCTGAAAATTTAGAATATAAAAGTCGATGATGTGAAACATATGTTAAACAGAGTATTTCAACCAAACATCTCGAAAGAAAATTAGAATTGACTCTACATAAGAAAAGGTAATTTAAGAGGCAAAATAAATTTTATGATTTCTACATCAAGACATCCTACATATTACTATAGGGTACATGCATTCAATATATTACATAGATATTTAAACAAATTGAGAATGCCCGAAAATCATGACACGTTTTCATGAGTAGCTAATCGCTTTCGAGAGAATTAAAAAACAAAGCTCAAATTAAACGCCTTAAACTATATTTTCATTAGCGAAATGCGTTTAAATATTCACAATATTACTCACGTTATGTAATAATAATAATATCCAAAAGGGTTAAACGCTTAAGCTAAATTTAAATTAACTGCTGTAATAACCAAGCACCACAAATTATAACTTATTTATCATTTTCAGATTGCTGATGCATACAGCATAAGCAACGTGAGGGACCATATCTGGGATGCTGAGGTCAACAGTATCATACCAGCTGACGCCATGCCTAAGAATGCTGATGCCACGGTGACACCATCTATAAACTCTGGAGCAGGAGGGGTCATAGTTAATTTTACATTGCAAGTGAGCAAGAGTGTGAGTGGAAATTTACTGGAGCAAGAACTGACAAGATCTCTACAGTTGTCTGAAATGAAAGTCGGTGATTCTGCGCTGCTGGCAGCTCCTCTGGCACAAACTGTGCAAGGTATGTCATTAGAGTTGTAATTCGAAATCGCGAAAAATAGAGCATTTTTTGTATTTTGTATTTGATGTTCGGAAAACGAAAATGAAAAATGTAAGAAAAATTAAAGTTTTTAAAATATCAGAAAAATGAAGAAAATGAAATATCAGAAAAATTTCATATTCAGTTTTTATGAAAGAGAAACAGTCCATTTCAATGTTAATTATAAAAAAATTCAAATATTATTAACATAAATGTTTATATAAAAAGAACACTCTTTTTAAGTTTATTCAAAGCTACAATATCATCTGTAAAATACAGAAAATAATCATCGGATTTTGCAAAAATGTGATTTGTACAACTTGAGACTGCGGGTTAGAGTTCGGACTTTCTTTCCACGAGCACTTTAGCAGCTCTATAAGAAGGAAATGCAGTTTGTTATACCATATATGCATGAAACAAGTAAAGAAGAATAAACAAAAATGTTGATAGAGAAAGATTGTTTCCACTAATATTAAAACTTTGATAAATTTTTGCGCGTTTACTTTCTTTGTTTAATAATTAATTTCTTCTTTGCTTTATTTTATTTATTTATAAATACAAATTTCAATACTGATATTGCTGAGCTGGTGCACCAACTCTGATTATAAAAATGAATTAACGTTTTTATCAGAACATGTCATAGTGGAACTTTTCAAAACTATGAATTAATTAATATGTAGAAATTACTTTTTTCCTTCTTAAATAAACGTTGCAGTTGTGATTGTAAGATATGAACTTCTTCGCGCGTAAATCTCTAAACTCTATTGCACGAAAATTTATGCAGTTATGTCTCAAATTGTACATAAGATACTAAATTTTTACTAAGAAGCAGTAGTTACAGTTTTCCCTGATATTTTAATAAAAGTCTGCGATTTTGTAAAATGAAGTCGCAACGGTATTTTGTTGTTATATAAATTAATGATAGTCTTTGATAATTTATCTCAGCAGTAGACTAATAAATGATCTAAAAATATAAATACAAAAAAATTTAATCATATTAGGTATTTAATAAAATCCGACACATATTTGAAATTTTTTCTGGATATTATGATAAGTCTCATTGAGTCCGAAATTTTACCTCTAAAATTAAATTAGCGAAACGTAAGTAATTATGATTTAATTTAATAACTTTTAGCTCATTTGATAATTCTAATTAATTTTCAAAATTAATATTTTTATCTTATGTACACTAAATTTCGTGAAGAAGTTTATTTAAAATGAAGGATTTTCAAAATACTGTAAAATTTGTTATTTAACAAAATTAAGTAACGTTAGACTTTGTCATTAGAAATTTGTCATTAGAAATTTAGAACATTAGTCATTAGAAATTTTTTCGAGGAAATCTGCATTACCCTCGCTGGGATTCAAACTCTAGACGAATACGCGTCGAGCATGCTTTCAGTTACACCACAAAGGCACACAGAAATGGGGAGAGAAAAATCTTATTTTTTTATATACTGAAGGATGGAGGAAGTTAGTATATTAATAATATTGAATTTATTTTAGTACATTAATAATAAGCAGTATAATTCTTCTTTAGATTACGATGAATGTTTGGATATTAGGCATAATGACTGCGCTCTTCAAGCAACATGTGTCAATTTGCCAGGAACATACACTTGCCAGTGTAATGAAGGTTTTGAGGATATGGATCTGACGTTACCTGGAAGAACTTGCTTAGGTATGTAAGAAAAATATTCTTTTGAAATTTACATAATTTAGCATTCTTTCTATTAATTCCTAACAATTCGTAGAGTCGTTAATCTATAGATACTAAAACATTTTTTTTATCTTTTATCGATACTGAAAAAGCTACAAGTAATTCAAATTAGGAGGACATTAATCTCAAAATAATGAGCTATTAATTATCAGATTTCTGTTGTTGTTGTGACTTATCTCATTTGTCTGACGTTAGAAAAAGACCACGAAATTCATCGCATCAAGAAGTACAAGATTACGCCTGTCGTTGGCAAGAGCCTTGGGCACCTTACAGGAGACTGTGCGATTTTGCCTAGTTACACTCCAGTTTTGAGGAAGAGCAGTCTGAGGTGCTGGGGGCGCTGAGGTTCTCCCATTCTTCTTCTCCTACAATCAATCTACAAGAGAAGGATTTTCGACTCGCCATATATTTAGAGTGCTCCCTTGCTGCAGACACTGTGCATTTACAAACATCCATGCTTTTTCCGGGATTCGAAGCCGGGCCTTTCGTTACGGTAGTCAGAGTCATTAACCACTGTTCCGTTCGGGAAGCTTATCAGATTTTTTAATTACAATGAAAAATTACTGAATCAGAAATTACTGAATAATTTCTTTTAGCTTTCCTTAATGAAACAGTAAATTTCATATTTAGGTTTTATCATCAAGTATGGTTTGGATTGGTTTAGTTGATTAAGGCAAAGCACACCAGAGTTACCTGCCGATGGAGAAGAATGCCTTTGAAGAAGAGTTCCTAAGGAAAATAGGCTCGTATTCACGTTGCACACGTGTTACACACAAAATCACGAAAACTCTCCTGCACCCAGCCCGTTCGCCTGGAATCGAGTCCAGGTCGGGACCACCAGTGTTCAGCGATTTTACCTCTCTGCCGCAGGTGAGCTGTCATTAGCTATGAGAACACGAAAAAGAGAAAATTGTGCAGTTTATGCTTTTCCTCTTTAATGGTCCTCAAGGTGGATCATGAAATAAGGAAACAACAACAAATAATTTTCATCACTTTTCTGTTGTATTAATGATAATTTTTAATGCTTTTATTAAATTCAATCATATCTTTATGTTTTAATGAGAAATGGCTATCTAGCAAATAATACTTTTCCTCAATAATAGTTTATTTAAGCTCAGTATGGCAGACATTTATTGTTCTGCTTATCATTAAAATTTCATAAGAATGTTTATTAATTTTATCTGTACTGTAACGTTTTTGACTAAAGGATTGTTATGAGCATGCTTGCCAGAGTTTGGCATATTCTGAAAAATTTGGCTATTTCTACTTTGGTTGTTGGGTCAATACGTAAGTACCCTCTATAAGGCTTCTGGAAAAAGTTGGTATGAATATACAATTGAATTCTGTAAAATAATACTGGATGAGCTCACAGTCGCATACACAGATTCATTGATAAGGTATAGGATGCAGCAAGCACATAGGAACAGTTTGAATATGATATCAACGCTACTCTTTTAACTATAAGTCACATACAAGAATTTAAAAATGATATGTGAAACGTGGATAGTTAATGTTCTACCTATATCTAGCTATCTGTAAATTTTAAAAAACTGTAAATACTTCAAAAATCATTCTGAATAACTTTATTAAAAACATTTTGTATTCATTCATTGATGAATTGATATTCACAGAAATATATATGATTAATATTTCTTTTAGCTAAAACTGAGAACTGTAACTACTGTCACGGTCGAGGCGACTGCTTAAGGGGAGATGATGAGAAAACATTCTGCAGGTAAAATAATAAATTTTAAACTGGCTGCAACATGTTTTACATTTCCTTTTAAAATTCCAAAAGTGAGTTTGATAACGATTAACAACTATGTTCCTGTTTTAGGTGTCAGCCAATGTTTGTAGGACGTAGGTGCGAAATTAATGGACTGGGTAAGTTTTAGCAAATAAGATACATATAGTAGTTTGGGATACGTACATCTAGATTTTGCTAGATAATTAAAGAGACTATGGTAAAAACCTAAAAATGGTAGAGTCATTTTAAAACTGAGTTTTATAAAGAATGAAACTTCATATTTGGTTCATACATTTTAATGAAGCAAGTATGAAATAAAATACATTTCAAGGTATTTAATTTTTATTCATTCTAGAATACTTTTACTTCTAAAAACATTCTTATAAACCTTTTAATACTAAATATTTGTTAACTTTTATTTTATTTTTTAACTTGAAAATTATATCAAAATAGTAGAATCATATCAGTAAAATATTTATGTTTTACGATTTTTTTATCATCGTTCATATCAGGTAATGTTTACTGGACGACAATAAGTGAAGGATCTGTTATTTTTTTCTTTAATATTTGATGATGTCGTTTCGTTTTCCCATTCTTATACGAAGTAATAGAAGTATTGTCATGACGAAAAACTTCAAGTATCATATTTCAATGCAAGTATCCATTTCGACCGTTCTCGAATCCATTTGGACTATTTTTCTGTGCCAGAGCTGTACATACGGACAGGATAAAGGACTATTTCCAAACCGGATTGTAAAAGAAATTTAAAATGGTTTGAAAATGCACTGACGTCTGTACACACTACGTACGTACGTATGTGTGTATTTCGCGTTAAAACGATTTACCATAGAACGTTGAATTTTTTTATAGGCGACTGCTATAACATCTAGTTGTGCACCTCTCGCTTTCATTGCAGTTAACATAACAAAATGTATACATATATATATATGTTTTAAAACCAAACGTATATATATGTTTGCTTTAAAAATAATAAACCTCAAATGAATCACCTCAAAATGAACATTCTAAATTTGTTGCTCTCACCCCTAAATTCATCTGTTCTTCTAAATTCCAGATCATTCCAAATTACGTAACACTGCTTGAAAAAGGTAACTAAAATTGATATTGAGCAATCATAACTTTGAATACTCTCTGCACCTACGAAGTATAAATACTGAGTCACGAGCACTACTTTCCCCTGACTTTCTGCCATACAAAAAACTTCGCACCGCTTAAGCTTCCCTGTCTGAAATGATTTCGTAGCATTTTATCTGTGTATATAAAGCAATTTGTTTGCCAAAGAAATAATTTTTGATGTGCCTAAAAATAAACATGGTGATTTGCCGAAATTTTTCAGCGTTTTATTCCTGCCTTATCCACCTAGCCATGTCTACAGCCAGAAATTAAACGTACCGGATTCATGACTGCGCATTTAGTATATATATATATACCTCCTCGGCCGGCTTAAAAGTCCTTTCCCGGCCTTTAGTTTCGCACACGCTACTCGTATCCTTCCAATAACTGAAGTGTTTTAAATGACGAAAATGTTAATGATTCATATGAACTTTAATACAAAATTCGGCAAATAATAAAATCTAACTTTCAATGCGGTCTTCCGATTGTTATAATTATACCAGGAAAAGTTTTATACTCATTATGAAATAATAAATACGAAATTTGATTTCCGTACGATAAAAATTGTCCCGGATATTTAATTTCAAAGTTTGCAGTTTTTAATGTCATTTTCAACTTGCCTCGACGAATCGGTTAATTAAGTTAAATAATTCGACGAAATAAGTTTAACTGAAGTGCAGCCAAAAATGCGTATAATTTATAGCCCTTACAAGGAAGTCATGTGATATCTTCATCAGAATTTTAATTTCAAACATGAATTTGTAGTGAAATTCATGTGTCAACGTGAAAATTATTAATGGCTCAGTATTTAACTTTTATTAATTTATACCGTAACCAACTATTTTTCGAGATTCTTTAATAGCTGCCATTACGCTCTTTCTTATTGTTTAAAACTGAATGGATTTTATGAGAAGTATATTATTCACTATTCAGCTTTAAATTTATCCTCAAGAGAGAACGATTGAACGCAGATTCCACATTTCCGAGTATTAGGCAAATTTTGTCTTAGCCCGTCAGATTTGTCTTTATATATATATATTGCGTTGCATTTTGATCAGCTTGTAGTCCTTTTCTGTCTCTTGTCTGACGAAACATCATAATAATCCATATTAATGTTAGGTAATTAGTGATAAATTTTATTATAAGAGATTGATTTTTTATGATTAATCAGATTATAGAAAGGTTTTTTTTTTTTTTTTTTTTTTTGGTTGACGTCTGCTGTCTACGAAGCCTATTTTACTAAAATGCATCCTGTTACCAGATTTTCCGTAGTCTAAATATCAGCCTTTTTATAGCTGGGTGCAAAGAGATTAGGTTTGGTGTATTTATTTATGGCAAAGCACTCAAGGGTTATCTGCCTAAGCGTTAGGGATACCTTCGTGGATGACTTTTTAAGGAAAACTGGCTCATAATCACGTTACACATAGGGAAACCACGAAAACGCTCATGCAGCCAATCCGTTCGCCAAGATTCCAACCCTTGACCGAACTACCAGTGATCAGCTACTTTACCGCTCGGCCGTTTGTGAGCATCTGTGTAATGGGAATGCATCAATTTCTAAGATAATATATCCGTAAAGAAAGTTACTAAATTTCTATTTTGTTGTTGTAGGGAAATATATTCCTTCAGTCTCAAAAACACGGAATTGAAAAATCTACGAATTCGTAACTATATTCAATGCAAGCAATGAATCAAGCAATGAATTCGTGTTGTATAATTTATTACGAATACGGATCAATAACCCCCCCCCCGAAATTATGCATTTTGCTGTGAATTATTTCAATTTTAATTATTTTTTACTATTTTTACTATTTTATTACTTTCAATTTTAATTATTATTTATTTTTGGTCACGTCTTGAAAACAAAAATTCCCATTTTGATGCATTAACATAATAGCGCGTAAATCATATCTTTATGAATTAATAATAGTTTCTGCTCAATTATAGTATAACATAATTTTTAATATAATCCTGTATAGAAATTTATTTAAACTGTTATTCTTTTCAGTTAAGAACTTAACTTTAATTTCTTTCCTCTAAGTTATTTGCAGTGAGAATTAAAGCTACATATTATTTTATACTATGCATAAAGTTTCTGAATGATTATTTCGTTTTGGAGCGCATGCTTGCAGTACCAAATTTACAAATACGTCTCCGAATTTTGTTGTTAAATTTAGTATAAAACATATTTACTTTACGTTGCTCTCACGGAGATTTGCTTGATTATAACAAGCTTAAAAATGCGCTTTCAGAGAGCAACTGAATAGTACTGTACAGTTTTCGGGTTTATTGCATTACAACGTAAACAGCCATTCATTGCCTTTAAATTATTTATTTGTTGCAAAATTTTAAAATTTAAAATATCAGATGAGTAAATATTTTATGGTATTAATTTTCACTGCGTATTCAGTCAAAAATAACAGATTTGGTTAAATTTAAACTTTGGAGGTTTTACAAATAATAATACCATTTGTTGTGAAATCCCACATAAATTTTTATTTCCATTTCAGTACTTGCCATAGCATTACCAACTGCAGTAGCTGTTGTCATACTTCTGCTGTGCGCTGTGCTTTGTTGCTGCCGAAAGTGTAAACGAAAGGCTCCCTCTACCAATGCAGGAGATCCTGGCAGTGTATTTAGGGGCATTGCTCTAAAAGGACCTGTGGGTGGCACTTTAGACAGAAAAGCTATGATTGATACTTCCAGCGAAAGTAGTGGAGAACATGGTAGAAAAGGACCGAATTCATTTGAAGGATATCAGGTAAGAAGGAATTGCCGTTGTAGTTTTCATTAACCAAATCGTTCATTATCGTTTCATAAAACTAAGATTACGAAGACAATCAATTTTGTCGTTTCTGATGGAAATTAGTACATGTTTCCTAAGGCCGGTTAAATGGAATTGTCATATCTGGTACAGTTGTATCTGGTTAAATAGAATAGTCATTTACTTCGATAATATTATTATAATACAATTTATTATTATTTCCCCATAGTAATACAAATAACATTGCATTGCATCATATAGAGAAAAGCATAGTATAAGAAAATGATGATTTTAATGAAATTGCTTTGCAGTTTTACTTAGAAAATTTCAAACATTTGCGTGAAAGACTGACGCTGTTTGACTACGATTAAGATTTGAGTATATCATACAAATTAGAAATATAGATTAGAGTATAAGGGTATTCTCCTCTAGAACCCTTTTTACTTCCTTCAACGAAGTAAAAAAGAAGTATTGTAATCGCGAAAAGTTTCAGGCATCATATTTCAACGGAAATATCAATTTTCCGCTATCAAATGGAATTTAACGATGTTTTTGCGTGACATCTGTACGTAAGAACAGGATAAAGGAATCTTTTCGCCCAAAAAAGTTGTAAAAATAATTTTAAATGAATTCTGAAGAGAATTTTTCGTGGCGTCTGTACGTACGTACGTATGTATCTCGCATAACTCAAAAACGAGTAGCCTCAGAACATTGAAATATTGTATATAGGACTGCTATAACATGTAGATTTGCGCCTCGTATTTTCGTTGCAATCGGCCGCACTAAAAGTATATAAATATGTGTATATATATCCACTCTGTTACCCGGCTCAGTGATCTCAGTTTCTGTATTGTTATATGTTTGTAAATTGTGCATTTTTTGCTCTAAAAATGATTGAATTATGTTGTTCTTATCTTCCGGTTAAGGTTTTTATGCCTTTAGTAAATCTGTGTGCAATATTTTTAGAATTATCAGCAGTTTTAAAGTTGTTTAATTGCCGCTAAGCCTTTTTTAATGGCGGCCATTGATGTTTGCATTTGAAACAGGATACTAGTGGATTTGTTGCCAATCTAGAGAAACTTAGCTTCGCAACAACAAAGATAACGCATTCATTTATTTTTGCCAATGAAATGATGCTTAATTGTTTCTAGAATTTTTTTCGAGAAAATAAGTGTTTAAGATTTACTTCATAATTTTCAACACAGACATCTTGAGTTTTAATGTATTTTTGCCTTGTCGCAAAGTGAGAACTGAATTAATAGAATGAGAAATACTGAATCGTCTGTGGAAAACTGTTTCGTTTTTGCTGTTGTTGTTGTTGTTGTTCATTGCTTAATTTCTTTTATACATCATTTTAGATTTACTATAGCGTTTGAACAGAACATGTACGATTAGATAATTCTTAAGATGATATAAATTTTGTGCATTCTGAGTTAGAAAATGAACGAAATATAACGCTGTTAAGTGAATCTAAGGCCAGAGTGTTGCTATGGTAAACAAATATAGTGAATTTTAAAGAAAGCATTTATTCTATTGTGGTTTATGCGCTATTGACGAAGTTAATTTACATTTATCAGTCATGTATTTTTCTCAAATTTTAAATAAGCTTTTTAATTTGTGCTTCCTATTTCCTTTATATCCAGATAGCTGCATTTGCCTCTTCGTCTAAAATTTAACTGCGGTTTAAAACTTGGATTCTTTACTTTAAAAAACTGTTAGTAATTGTTCAGAATATCTCTATTACATTTATTTGATGACGTAAACCTCGCTTCATGCTCATGTTCTTTTTCAGTCTTGTTTTGCTAAAAAGTGTCATTAGGATTTATTAAGTCATATATTGCATCACTAGTGCATAACTTTTAATTATTTTTGTTTACAGAAAAGGCAAATGTTATATTCAATTTGGTTATTATCGTTCCTTCTTTTCTAGATTGTTTTCACTTGCAATAGTGATTGAAGATTTACGTTATCAGTTATATTTTTTCCGTTTTAAAGATCACTAAATTTCGTTTTTGGACTAGAAGTATAATATGGAAACTTATTATTTTAATTTTTCATTTTTTCGCGCACTCTAATCGTTCACTTTATTTGTTACACTGTGGTGTTACTGATATTACTAGCTGACATAATGAAACCAGGATATGTATGGATATTTTCAAACATATGATAAAATGACGAATTATTTGCACAACACTGAATTTTAGTCATGCGTGTTAAATTCAAACACTATGACAGAAGTCAAGAAGACTTCAAAATACTTCCAAAGTGTAATAAATGCACATTTTGGGGAAACATACCAAAGAGCGATATCATTCCTTGATATATTATTTACTGGAACCTTAGAAAACACTGGAAAATGTTACATTGTTAATGTAAGGGAACATATTACATAATTAATTTTTAACCCTGGAAAATATTTAATATTTAATATTTAATATTTTATATTTTCCAGGGCAGTAATTCGTAAAAACAGAGCGAGGCAGAAACATCATTATTTTAATCAATCTTTTATAATGCTTCGTCTACTTAAATACTGAATTCCAATCTGTCTGTGAATTTAATATTTTTTTTGAAGAAAAATTTTATGCAAGAAAGTGTTTTTTATTATTTAAAAAAGTTATTTTTTTTATGAAATCTTTGGACTTATCCCAAAATTGAACAGAATATAAAAGCTAGTTGAACTTATAAAATATTTTCTCCCTCTTCCGCATGCTTTCGTGGTGTCATTAGAAGAATACTCGATGCGTATTCCAGAGGTCTAAAGTTTGAGTCCTGGGCAGAGCATTGAAGGTTTTCACGTATTCTGCTCCAAAATAACCTAATTGAATGTACAAACGTTTATAAGTTCCATTATTTTTTGATGTGTTTATAATGCTTAGTAAAAGAAAGAAATAATGCAAATAAATCTTAATGCAAGTAACCGAAGATCCAAACCCTTTTAAGTATAAAGACTTGAGCAATTATACTCAAAACAAGCTTCTTCTTTCTGTTGTAAAATTTTATTCCTTGTAAATAATAATTGCGTTCATTGCAATATTTGATTTTGCTTTGCAGGAAAGTGGTGATGTCACCCCTTACAAAAGCAGTAAAAGGAGTGACCTGAGTTTGAATCGCAGCTTATCTACGGGGTACACATCTCCTCCAGTCATGATTCCCAGGGCTAGACAACCTCAAGGTCCCAACAAGCCTATGAATTACACCGTCTATGACGGTCAAGTGTATGTTTGGTGAGAAAATTATGGACGCAGGGCGTCGCATTAGCACGGCATTTTAAAGACTTAGTTTTCACAATTAAAAGACCATGACTACAGTCAACAACCCGCCATGATCACTTTATGAGTTATGAGCTTCTTCAAAACTGTGTTCCTTCAAGAGCAGGATCAGAGCGGGTAAATAAGGTGCAAATACAATACTTGTAAAGGGATCATATACCAGTGATGTCAAAAATACTTACTTTGGTGCTACATGTTGTAGCACTTTAGACGCTTCAGTATGGTTTCTTGAGGTGCTCCGAAAACTTACTTTGTGAAGATTATCACAAATAACAACGAACTTTCATTTATAGTTGATAATCTCGCAATATTTGTTGCCAAAAGAGAAAGCGCAAGAGCCCATACTGTACGAAATACATGACAGGCATTTCTTTATGACGAAGATATCCTTGGACATTCGTTAAACACATCTCAGGATGTCATCTTGTCAAGGTGAAAGCCATTCATGACTTTGAAGAAATAACAGCATAACAAATGGTTTTGAAGTTAAATATATTCGGTAACATTTCCTATCGTACTTCACTAAACAAAAGGAGAATATGGACTTAACCACGCTGCATTTATGGCGTACCTAAACGCAGCCATTGAAGCTGTTAATAATTTGGTGGAAAGTATGCAAATATCGTATTTTCTATTAATATAACGGAATCGAGGTTTAGTGACTGATTACTTTTCAAAAGAAAGGAACACACCTTTTCTCTTTCTTTTGCAGTAACAAATACAGATTACATTTTCATCTTTTGAATTTGCCATAAAACTAGTAATCATTTTAATCAAAAATAAAAAAAACCTCAAAAGATGCTCGTATACTCTTAAAGTATGCGAGTGTATAATAGTTTAAAACATATCCTGGTGCTTATGAATGATTAAAATGCATATGGAATTCAAACCACTTAAAACGTCATTTGTTGCTTGAAAGATGAACTTTTCACTTTTATAATTTTACGATGTTTTTATTTATAATATCTGTTTATTACTTTTTATGTGCACTTTAACAGCATTTGTTTTGATAAATTATATTATAAAAGTGTCACAGACATAGTGTTTTATTCTGTTTTTAGGAAAATGAAAAATCTACATTTGTAACATAACATCTTTCTTTGTAAAACTTTTGTATAGTTTCTAACATTTTTCTGAGTGTCCATGTATCTAAGTGCTCAATAAAGCCCTCTTTTGTTTATGTAATCAATTTTTCTTTCGTATTTAGTGCATGTTCTGATTTAGAATTATTTTGTAAGGCATATATTAACATACTGATTTTCGGGAAACACATTTTTAATGATGTTATTATCTCCCACTATTTTAAATACATTTTGCTTATTTTTGAAAAGTAATACTCTGTGTTCACTGCTAACAGACAATAATTTAAACTATATTAAACAACAGACACATAAACAAATAACTGAAATTTAATTAGTTTTGCGAGAATTTTGCTCAGTTATTTAATTAATAAATGAGATCCGATTAAAATGTAGTGAAGATCTGACAGTTTTTCTCGTTATATATATATATATATATATATATATGTGTGTGTGTGTGTGTGTGTGTGTGTGTAAGATAAAAAATATCAAAGTAAACTTTTAAATTTAATTGTCTGCAACCTCTTTTATTTCTTCTTTAATTTGGGGACTTTCTCTTTCTGTCTTAGAAATAGCGCCGTAAGTCTAAACTGCGTCATTCAAATTAATCATGCGATCTTACGCAACGCTTACTACAGATGCCTCTTGAGGAATCACCAAATTATAAACCAAAACATAAAATTGAAACTAAAACTGTTTGACTCCCTTCCACCTTCCTCTGCATTACTACTGTGACACTCTTCCCTTTCTCGCTTGTGCTTTCCTCATGACCAGACGCTTTGCTGCAATCATCTGTGTGCTGCATTGATCGCTTATATCACAGAACTGAAGACGAACATAGACTCCCGACGCAGGTCCGACTAGCAGACCCATGCGGAGTTTGTATATCTGTGGTCCTGGGGACTTCATCCTAGCAGGCGCAATCCCCGCCCGGCTTTATGCAAAGCAGGGAGGTAAGAAACTACCTCCATGATAGTCTAACATCCTACCTCCATGATACAAAGCATTGGGAGAACAAATAGCAGATATGAATTTATTTAGTTATTTTGCCTCCGGGCATAACTCCATTGGCAGAGTATGTCGTAAAGTGCGTACTGACCATTATGTCAGTCCCCGTCACGAGAACTGAATGGAGTCAACCCCCCCGGGGATTTGGTTGACGATCTCCGATCTAGCTCCACCACGGCCGAAGGAACAGACAGGACAGTACCAGTACGGTCTCTGCCAAGCCTGAACCTGCCTTAGACCGAACTAGGGCTTTAGTCAAATTAAGTAGCCCCATGGCTGAGACTTCCTAAGTACAGATCCAGGAATTCTCCTGAGTCAACCCCAGGAGGGAAGAATCGCTTATATCACAATAGTGTCAAAATTCTTCTGGAAATAGGTACGATTGGAGTGCCAAGTGAGTTATCACCACCAAAATGTGAATTTAAATAAATACGGCATTTAATACACCTCGACTGTTTCTTCTTCAAAATGGATGGACCCTCTAAGCATCATGTATATTCACAATCAGCATTTCTGAGCACCTACATTTCAGTGTTCTTACATCAATGCTTCCGAAATTGTGTTAATATTACATATATAAATTGCTCAAAACAGTTAGGGGATATAATTATTTTGGATATAAACAACTACGGATGAAGAAATGCTTTGGTGGAAAAAGAAGCAATGAACAAATAATGATTAAATTTCACTGAAGATATATATATATATGTCTGTAAAAATCTGTCTGTAAAAAATTTACAATTTGAGCATATTTTAATATCTTGTTATTAACAAATAACTATATTAATTATTGAAGTGGCAACGCCATATTTGTAAGATGTAACCGTTGCTCAACAACTGAAGAAATTGTTTAAAAATTATGATTCTGAAGTTTGACCAGCTAATAGATGGATGAAAATTTTACCACTTAAGATTTGTATACAAATTATCTATCTCCATAAACTAAAAATAAAATTTATGTTTTACTAAGAAGATTATCTGTTTTGTCAATTACTGCAAAATACATTACAGTGTTGTACAAACAAACAGTAGGATATCTCGGATACAAATAAGTTTCAATAAGAAGTAATGTTTCTCCTGATTGAAAATAATATCTCACACCTACAATACCTCTGTCCTCTTCCACCAAACCACACGAGAAGACTTCCGACTCACCGCATATTTAGTATTTAGAGTGCCGCCATACCGTACCGACACTATACATTTACAAACATCGATGCTTTCTCCGTGATTCGAACCCGGGCCCTTCGGCACGGTAGCCAGCGACGCTAACCACTATATCGGTTGGTTACCAGAGCCTCATAGTAAACGAGATCTTGACGGATATTCCAAATGCAGAAATAGTCTGTTTTGCAAACGACATTTTAGTAATGGTATACGAGTCTTCATTAGAGAAATTAGAGGAGAAATTTAAGTTGGTTAATACACTATTCAATGATTGGATCAAGAAACAAAGAATAGAACTTAACGTGGGTAAAACCAATGCTTTATTTTTTCCAAGAGGTGGAGTAAATGTTAGACCACCTAAATTAAGATTCATTAATAGAAACATCAAATTTAAAGATGAAATCTATTTGGGCGTAATTCTTGATAAAAAGTTGAACTTTATCACCCATTTTAAAAATATTCAAAGAACCATTGAGGGGATTCTGACTTTTTACATAAATACTTTCTCCCCTGGAATTTCAGTAAGGAAAAGTACGACTCTGAAAGAGATATATATCTTAATGTGATTCTATTGAAAATTACAAATGGAATTGGAGCATGGGGTCCCCCAGCAGGCGAGCTGGTAAGATTAAGAATGAAATTGGACTCTATGCAGAGAAGCTGGCTTTTGGCTATCACTAGAGCAGTCCGTACAGTCTCGATGGAGGTTCTTTGTATACTTGCCGGTGTGCTCCCTCTCTCAATTTATTATAAATTTTTACTGAGGAGCAAACTTGTTGAATGTATTATGCATATGATCTAAATGTTTATGCTGATTTTATGGAATGTATCAATAATGATGACAAAAACCCAAATGAGCTTTTTGGAATTTGCTTTGATAATAATGTTACGAACTTTAATGAGATCTCAAATTATACTGATGGCTGTGGATTCGAGGGGGGGCGTTGGTGCTGCATATGTGGTATATTTGTATGGCCCGGAAATAGACAGTAAAAAATTCAGAATGGAGGAAATGAATTCCGTTTATCAGGCTGAAATGATAGCTATTAGAGAAGCCATGAAGTGGATTGATTGTAACTTTATTAGACATTATATCCATCTGTATTCTGATGCTCAGTTCTTACGGCGCTCTCCCGTCCAGAGCCAAAGAATCATGTTTTAAAAGATATAAAAGATTTTTATTGTAAACTGAATAAGGAGCACTGTATTCAGTTTCACTGGATTAAAGCTTATGCTGGTCATCAAGATAATGAGAGGGCGGATACACAGGCAAAAGAGGCAGCCCTGGGGGATGGCAATTTATATAATAAAGTCAAGCCAGGGAGAAGAAAGATAATTACTAGAGTTAAAAATCATTGTGTTAAAATATGGAACGATTCTTGGAACTCCTCAGAAAGAAGATCGTATCTACTGAAAAATATAAGAATATCTAATAAAATGAGAATTACGATATTAACCAGCTGATCACTAATCAAGGGAGATTTTCTGAATATCTGAATCGATTCCACCTCCAGGGCAATAAGAACTGCCTCAATTGTAATATGATAGGTAACGCAGAACACTTCGTCGAGAGTTGTTTGTTAACAAGGAGTGTGAGGGCAAAATACAAAATTGTAAAATGAGAATGTAAAGTATGATACTCTGAAAAATTTTTCAAAGGATATTATGAGTGTAATAAACAATAATAAGGATTTAATTGGAATATTAGATTCGTAATTGGGGAGCACATGTCTTAGATTTTGGTGTTTTCAATGAGCATGTATGATTATGTGGCGTTTTACCTTGTAGATTATTAACGTTGTAGATATTATTATTTTCTTATGTTAATTATGGTGTGAGTTAAATTAAAAAGATTTTAAAAGGCTTGCAGCCATTTATACTGGTATTTTTGATTTTGTTATGTTTTCGTTTTATTAATTCTTTTGTTACTCGGGACTCGGGCTTGGATTCTCGGAGCTGTGTTTAAGAGTAGAATTTAGAACTTCTGGCTTTATTGAAATGTTAGGTTATTGAAATAATTTGTAGCACGGCCGGCTCGCTGGCTTCCTCGTTTGTGTGTTGGAGGGGTCTGTTCCTCTTTTGCCATAAGGCCAATTTCATCGGCCAGGGAGTGTGGGGGTTGCGCCCGTGATTATTACCGGTTGTTTGCTGCATGTTAAAATGCTAATTCAAGCCTTCATGCCTTCGCTACGACAGTAAGAGTCAATAACTAACTTTTCCGTCTGGCTGGCAAAATAAGTAACAAACATTTGAATATACAAGTCTCTGAAAATTCGCAGATATTACTTAAGCTATATTTTGTTTAAATCCGTATTTTTTATTTAAGGAGCCATGTGAAAGTAATTAAAATTGTGTTAAATGGAGTTATCTATGAAAAGTCTATCATAAACTACTTTTTTTTTTAAATAATAAGACAAACTAGCACGCTTGAAAATTGCTTTTTTTCATTAAAGTGAAGAAAAGTTTCTAAATCACAACATCTGGGTAAAATAATTGAACACAAAATGTACAGAATGTAATAAATGAATAACTTTCAGGACTTCGCACTATACATAATATAAATATTCTAAAAAATGTGAGATAGTGCACGTAAATACAACAATGAAAACAGAGTAATGTGACTAGAATGCCAGAAACATTTTGGAATTAACATTAAATACATAAATTTAAACATTAAAAAAATGGTTTCTTTTTATATTTTATCCTTAGATTGCACGCTGCTTAATTATAATCACAACACTTTTACATGACGAAATTAAGAACTGCTTTTAAAATGCAGAATCCATTTCTTACATAGGACACAACATTTATTATCGAGTAAGAAATTTATGACAGCATGCATTTGATGATGTGATAAATAAATTCCAAATGAATTTCCTGCTAATATTTTTTATTCAATACCACATCTGTAGCTTGATATCCTTTTTTCCATTTAGTCTGGTGATAGGACTTGAGGATGTGTGATTATTTAGGCAACAGAGAATGGAACGAAAATTGTATATCCTGAAAGAAAAAAGTACCATTTTTAGCTGTTAACACTCTCCTAAATACTTTATGTCAACTGTATCAATCTCAAATCTAAACTGTTGTAACTGTAGTGCGTTGCCTTCAGCATTACAAAAATTACAAGCGGTACAAAAATCGCTTCAGCGCATTACTTCAACTCTGGAAAAAATATTAATGTTATAATATGGTAGTAGTGTACCTCCCATTTTCATTGCAATTGACCGCATAAAGCATGTATATATATTATTTGCTGATACCCGGTCAATGAGTCCAGGTTTTTTTTTTCTTATATGTTGGTAAACTATGCATAGTTTGCTTTAAAAATGCTTGATTTATGTTATTATTATGGTCCGGTTAAGGTTTTTATGACTTTAGTTAATCTGCCCGTAATAGTTGTAGAATTATCAACAATTTAAAAGTAGCACTAAGCCTAACGAGGCTGCTATTTGCTTACATTTGAAACTTTTAGTAGAATAATGAATAAAATCCAGTTTGTGCACCAACTTTAGAGTCTTTTTAAGTTAAAAGTTAAATAAATATTTGTGCACTGAAAATTTTCTTTTTCTACCCTATGGCCAAATTGCTTGTTTTGGCGCAGAAAAATTTTAATTATAAAAATTGTCTTTTAAACTGTATTTGGTGTTTTAGGTTTTCTGTATTGTACGATTTTTAATGAAGACTGAGTTTTTATTCATTTTTACCTTGTCACGAAGTGAGAACTGAATTGAATGAATTAGAAATACATCTGTAATGAAATCAGAGGAAAATAAGTTTAAATGAAATGCAGGAAAAATGTGCGTAGTTTAATAGGTCGTACAAGGAAGTCATTCATATCCACGTCATATATTTTTATAATAATGTATTACATTTTTATTTCTACGAATTCGGGCTTATTTAATCAACTTCTTATTAACACTTTAATCTCAAATACAGCATTTTATTCTAATGCATCTAAGTGAAATGTTTTATTTTAATAATTGATAAATTGGCTTCAGACAGTACTGCTGTACATCATAATAAACAACTGTATATTCGATAATGTTACTAATACATCCTCGCATTGTCCATTTAAAGAATATTTGACAATTTGCGCTGTTTACCAAATAGATCCTTGTTTCGATTATACGAGAAAGCATCATAATATAAAATTAATATTTTAAATAAAAAATATCAACAAGTAACTTTTCAGCATATATCATAATATTTACAACTAGCCTTCTCTTCTTCCGTCCTTTTCCCTTATTTACGCAATCTTTAGTTAAAAATTAGTTTCTGTATTTACTTTCTGCTACCAATTTTTATTCAGATTTACCCAAAAAAAGGAAAGTACTAAAACATCGAGCTGTGTTGCTACAACATTTGATTTCGAAGACAGTAAGCTCGAAAAACAAATAAAAGTCTCATAAAATGACTTAAACTTTAAAATCTGATAATTCCTTTGTTTGTTTGATTTTTAATGTCTGACGATTCGTTGTGTTGAAGTTAATCACACACATTAATATGCGCAAGAAAAGCTTCAACACAAATATTATTTGGATGTATTGAAATGCGAAAAGAATTGAAGTAAACATTGTTTGTGCATTTTGATTTGCTGAGCACAGGAAAGGATGAATAATTACCTGTCTGGTCTAGAATGCCGCTAAGAAAGAGGGACAGACCAGATCCAACGATGAAAAGTCAGAAGGAATATCGAAACTGAAGGTAATTGAATTCTCGTAGTCTCCACTGGACACTAAACGGACAGCAGTATTACCACAAGCTATTGTGATTGGTGGCTCTCCTAGAAATATTAAATCGTAGATTGAATTTGAAGTTTATCGAGAAGTTTTTTTAACAATCATAAATAGCCCCGATCATTATTTTAAATATAAATCAAAATAGTCGAAAAAAAATGAAAAAAAAAATTAAAATACATAATTTCATGAATAAAAGTTATATGACTGATATTCTAGTCTAGAGAAAATAAAACTTCTGTAACTTATCGTAGCATTCTTGACGAAAAGATAGCATAAGTGTAAAATTTATAAATAATGTTCAAATAAATATTTTATAACAATTAAAATTGCTACAGAATACAATTATTATAGCATGCATCAAATAAAAGTAACAATTTTTAAATTTTACAAATTTTTAGGCTGCTACTAAAAATAGAAATTATTGTTGCTGTTAAAAATTTCACTTGTCTGACAAAGATCAGCAGAAGCCCATGGCATTCAACGTAGCGACAAACATCGAGGTAGTCTTGGCAAAGTGACAAAGGAGCCTTGAGCACCATATATGTGTCAGAGCTAACTCAGTTTCGTCCCCAGTTTTTAGAGAGAGCACCCCGAGGGGGAGAGTCTGAGGGTCTCCCATCTCTCTTCCTCACCATTCACCTTTGGATAGAACTTTCACTTTGTCGCATATTTAGAATGCTCCCATACAGCACACATATTATACATTTATAAACATCCATGCCTTCTCCGGGATTCGAACCCGGGCCCTTCGGTACGGCAGTCAGCTTCTCTAACCACTGTCCCGGTTGGGCGGCAAAAATAAAAATACTAAGTTTAAAATAGAACATATCAAATCATTTTAGTATTTATATTTTATCTTTATTATATTAACAATGTCCTAGGTTGCAAGTAGTATTGCAATTTGTAGCTCTCAAAGCGTTTTAGAAAGTTATTTTCGATAAATTTAATGAGCGTAGTATATCAAAGAAATTCCTTTCATTGCACATATCTATTTATTTATTCACATATTTTCATATTAAGTAACGACTGGAACATGTAATTTAATGTAATTTAATGGATAGAGCAATATTTAGTACGTTTTTCCAGAACTTTCATATGCTTCTAAAAGTGGGACAAGTAACATACTACTGGAAGAACTGTGTGAGATCGCAGTTTCAATACAAATCTTTATTACGCACGACTAAGATTAAAATGGTGTACTTAGTGTCTACAACTGATAGAAGCCGCTGAATATGTCAAACACTGCCAACCATGAGCATAGCAGTCCTTCAGAAACCATATTCCTAATAATTATTCAGTTTAGCTACGTTACCATTTTCGTATGCGTTCTTTTGGTTGCATTGGAAGTTCCAATCATTTTTATGGATAAATCGTGGAAATTGTTTCCTTAAATTCAGTTTCAAAATATGCTCTTGTGCAATCTGCCAGCAATGGAATGAATTACGGTGAAATCTCTGCTAGAATACAGAATTCTGAAAAAAAAAAAAAAAAAAAAAAAAAAAAAAAGTCATTAATGGAAAAATTGTTTTGATTGGTTTGGTATGGTTGATTATGACAAAGCACAGAAAGGCTATCTGCCTAAAGGGAGAATTGCTTTCATGGAGGACATCCTAGGGAAAACTGGCTGGTGTACATTTTACATATGCATCTAACAAACGTGAGCATGTATCTATGTCTTACATGTTGAAGGTTTTAATCAGTGATTTTGCTTTAAAGTTTTTAAAACTGTTTTAAATGCAATTTTAAATGCACTGGACAATCAAAAGCTTAAAATTCATCATATGATCTGAATTGTGGTTTCAAAATATGTGATTTTTTACATCTTATGTGCATCAGATGAAAATACGAAAGATCTTTTCAATCAGAGGGAATTTTAAGCTTGCCCAGAACATTGTAAATCTGATAACCACATATACCGAAATTAGATTTACGCTTTTCTTTCAGAAAGAGTCAGAAATGAATTAGAGTTTAAAAAAATAATAAAATGTATAAAAGTATTATATAAGTATGTAGAGTTGCGCGCCTCCAACAATGCACGCAACAAAGTGGTGACTGCTGAAACTGGAAATTAGACGGAGTCTTGAGAAGGGTTTAAGTACCTCTTTATTCAACTTTAGAAAGTACAAATGCGTGCTCTTCACGCTCACAAACTACGCCGACCCGGCGGTAAAATAAAAATAAGAAACTAAAAGAGATACTAACAAGTCACTAACTACGAGGCTCTCTAAACGTAACTAACCTCACCGCGTTTTACAATACCGCTGATACTTCAGCAAACTCTGAATATTACGTTGAAAGATTAACATTTGCCTAGGCAAGCACCGCGAACGTGGTCTTCATTCGATAACTACCTCCGCGGTAGTATGCCTGGGGTTCTTCATTTCTAAATACTCCTAATGAACCGGGTCTACAAATTTACTCCGCATGGGTTAGAAATTTAGTAATACTATTCAGTTTTCTGTAATCGATAGCAAACCTCCAAGCCCTTTTATCCGAAGGAGGAAACTCGTTCTTTTTCCTACATAGTACGACTGGACTCGCGTACTCACTATTTATGGGCGTTATTATTTTGTTCTTTAACATTTCCTGAATATGTTCTTCGATGATTACGTCTTTTGTTTATCATAGCGATAAGGTTTAGTCCTACAGGGTTTTTCGGCAGTTAACTGTATCTCATGCGTAACTATTTGACAACTACCAGGCCGTTCTGAAAACAAGTTTGAAAAAGTTACTCACCACTTGCTGGATGGCTTGACTTTCATGGTCATTCAAATGGCTAAGGTCAACTTGCGGTTGTTCCACAGGTTCCACCACCCTCTGGTCCATCTCCAGCACAATAGAACTGTCCTTGAAAATTCAATTTGGCCCTCGCGGCCCTTAAAAACTCCATACCTAAAATAAGAGGATTTTGCAGATTTTTACTACAAAAATTAATACTTTGAGGCTTTCCTCTTTTACCTGTATGTTTAATGATAATTTCCCGATGCAGTGACAGGTTTTTTCCTTGCGCCGCTATAATTTCTGTGTTTTTTTTTTTAAATAATCGTAACCTATAAAAATTCTTTTTGAAGAATGTATCACTCATAAAATTACCTTCTGCTCCTGTATCGATGAGGGCTTCTACTGGTACATCGCCAACCAGGACTTGTATAATTGGTAGATGTGAGTTCTTTACGATGACCGTATTTAAGTGTCTTTTTGAGGGTTTTTTTAAAACTTCCGGGGTCTGGACCCTCGCTTTCACAGGCCCCTCTACTCGTTTAAAGCTTTCCTTTCAACTTCTGCCTTCTGGGTACGCGGACGTTTGTTTTCGAATTTCCTTTTTGGGCCTTGACCTTCGAGGTTCGATGAGTTAGCTTGATAGCTCTTTCCCCCATAAGAGCGGTTTGCATTTCTGGTCTGCTCATTTGAAGATTGCCTTCGGGTACTTTGAGAATACGATGCCCCTCTAGCTTTTTCCGCTATTCTGCGATTTTGAAACTTCACCGCCAATTCGAAGAGCTCCTGCAATGTGCTTGGGTTTTCTAATTTCGAAGTAGTCTTGAACAGCAGGTAACAATCTTGGTAAGATTATTTCAATAATCTCCGCGTCGGGTTTCTTCCCATACAGCATATCCGTCAGCTTAATTTTTCGCAGAATAAAGTCCGTCAACTCTTCTATATCCCGTTGATAGAAACTATATAGTTCGGCTTCTAGCTGCTGATCTTACTTGCTAACCTTTTCTATGACCCCGGAAAATAAAAAAGTACTAAAGAATCACAATCACTAATACGAGGCTCTAAATATTTAACCGTAAATACCGCGAACAGCAAACTGAATAACGTTGAAAGATTAACACGAGGCAAGCACACAGGCCGAAACGCGTGGTTCTTCAATTTCTGACTAACTACCTCCGCGCTCGTGAAGTGAGAAAAGCACACTTCGAACTCATTTCCTTTCTATTTAACTCAGAATACTTCCGCTGATAATTTGAATCCTTGCGCGTTCTACTAAAATTTACATACTCTGGCATTGGCAATTCCAGGGGAAAGTAAGGCTTGACAGGAAAGATAGTTTAAACTTAAAATAAATGTTAGTTAAAATAAATATAAACCCTACAAGTAAATCAAGGATGATGATTTGAAATGTAAGGAGAGCACGTGGTTATGTCGCATAACGGCACATATAAATGAATATTTCTCCCAAAATTATTATTTAAGCTTTAATTTTTAGATTTAGGTTGTTATGCATGTTAAAACCAATGCCCGACTCTGACACATGTGACAAAGGAATGCGTATAAATGGTAACTTCAAAATAAATGTATTGACTTAAGAAATATAATTAACCTTACTTGGCATGGATTTCAGTCCGCAAAAATCCACTGCTACGTTCATCAGGTTTGGGTCAAGACCATCTCCTCCGCGAATTTCAACGAAATCATGAAAACCTCTTTTTCGGCACTAAGCAATGGAATAACAAAAAAACTTTATTAGTAATAAGTTATGAATAATAGATTGACAGATTCCATCAGAATAAATATACATAACTACAATTAATAAAATTTCTCTTTCAAAATACTCCTTTTAAAAAATATTAATTTATATATGTATAATATATATATATATATTAGAGAATACCAAAAGTGATTCAAAAGCACTACATCTAAAATAAATAAAGAAGTAAACAAAAATCAATTAAATTCCATCCCCTTTTTTGTATTCTATTCTGAAGAGCAAATACAGCATTTTTTGCAGTGCGCAGTAAAGCTTATTAATGCGCAAAGAGGTGCTGCTTGTTTAAAAAGCTGTTTCTCACAGCAGCTTCGCGTTAAAAAAAATATGATTTAATGTTTCCTCATTTCATAGTATAAACAAACAAACAAGTAACGCACTTTACAGGATTTCTATTTTATTATTAGAAAAAGGGGAATTTATAAGGTATTTTCCCCTCTTTCCAGCGTGCCTTCGTGTTGTAACGGTTAGCACACTCGACGCGTATTCGAGAGGTCCAGGTTCGAGTCCCAGCAAAGGCGTTGCTCATTTTTAGCGTCTCCTGCTTCAAAATAACCTAATAGATTCCACAAATGAAGGCTAACTGTTGGTACCAAAAATCACAAACTGGACTACATCTCGTGTGAGAAATATTAAACTTGTGGGAAAAAAATTAGATATTAATCATTCTTTAATTAGGTGCTGTAACAAATGAATATCGTTGATGACGCTCTCTACCGACGATATGGAGAAAATACTTAGTTCGCACCCTAACGATATGGTCCCTACATAATATTATAGAGACATTCTTCTGTGAGCTATGAAGTAGCTGATATTAAAGATCCAATGGAAAGTATCACATGTCTGCCCTCCGACCATTTAAAGAAATATCCAATAAAACCGAGCCAGGTCTATCCGCTTAAGAAAAGAGGAAGACCAAGAATGAACATTTCTAAGGATGCTTCGAAAAAGAATTAGCCACACAATTCTTCCTCTGGCTACTCACCGAGACGTCTTCGTAGTCGGGCGGGGGAGACTGTCATAAATGAATATCGTCTGCGACGCTCTCTACCGACGATATGGAGAAAATACTTAGCTCAACGCACGCAAACTGCAGAAGTGAGAAGTTATTGTTTGAACTCACGCTTTAAACTTTAAAACTATTTCATGTAATTCCATATTCAGTTTTATCGTTTTCTTGTATGTTGTTGTTAGGTGTTAATAAAACGTCATTTATAATTATCTCCTAATTAATTGATTAATTGATTTTCTACGGATATAATGTAATACAAAATATTCTAAGTTTACTTAAATATTCAGGAAATTTCGCAGCTTCTATTTTTAATAGCTTTTTGTATTTTCATTATTTATGTTCCTAAGCTAAATTTATTGAAATACTAAACAAATTTCTGTTCCCAAAGACCGATCCTTTTTCAGTCATAAATATGAACAGTCCCAAAATATGTAAGGACATGCAGCATCTTTCAACATCAGTCGTTTACTTTGAATTGATAAATTCGTCCAATCTTTATCGATGAAAATATCTCCACGAAAATGTTTTTCACAAACTGCACTTCTTTTGGTTGGAATGAAATTCACTGGAGGAATTTTTTGACATGATAATTATTTTGTAACAATTCATTTCAAGCTTTCCTAATACTTTCCTTTATGCCTATTTCGTCATATACTCACTCAGCCCAGAGGATGTTTTAGATTTAAAGACAAGCTGCATAGTTTGAATTGAGAGTAAGAATAGCAACCAGCCTAACTTGGAGACCTGGCTTTGCCGCCGCCGCTACCTGTTTTTTTGAAGGAAAGCCGCTGATTCAAGAGAATGCAGACATTTAATACGTTGGCAAATATACATTAGTTGAGCTTTCATTGGCTGACCAAGCGGATGTGCTTTGCATCAAATCACTGTTGTACCCAGTTAACATATAGTAAGATTCAAGTTCTATAGTCCAAGAGGTTTAAAATGTATGTTGATTATTATTTTTAAATTACTCACGAGCGGTGAGAAAATAAAATTTACTTTTATTCTGCTGTGCACTGTGTCCATATCCAGATAAAGGCTGTAAATCACCGATCTACAGAGTTAACTTCTAAGGGTGAGCAGTGAGAAGAAATAAATAATTAGGTAATTTGGCAATCTTAGCTAAAACCTTTTTTGCGTCACCTTTTGAAATTTGTAAATACTAACGAGATCCTTTATGCCAATATAATTAAATTTACACAAGTGTGCAGCAACAATGAGGCGCTGCTACCGTATACAGATAAAATTAACAATGAGCAAGAATTCCTGTACACTGCTTGGTTAGCTGTAAAAATAATCAAATGGAAAAACAATAGATGGAAAAGATAATTCATCCTTGAGTTGCTTGGCAAGTGACCCTGTCTTCCCAAGAAAGACGGGGATTATTTGAGATATAGATCATTTGAATTCTTAGCATATAAACTTCAGCCCCGTCACTGTTTGAGACCGTTTTGGTTTTATGAAGAATTCTTGGGAGACGTAACTAAGTCTTCTATGCCTCATCCATGATTTCTTCGGAATTCGAACATGGGTCCAAAGTTATGGCATCTGACTCTTCTACAAATTGGCCCAGGTTCTAATATTGTAGAAGCAATGGATGTTTGTTAGCGTATAGTGTCTGTGCGGCATAGGAATCATATAAAATACTAACAAGCTGAAAGTCCTCTCGAGTGGCTTATGGTGGGGGAAGAGCAATGGACTCGGGCCGTTCCTCGGGGTTACTCTTTATAAACATAGAGGTGGTGATGTGAAAATATACCTGTAAGACCGATTATGAAATTCTCACTTGCAACCTATTTTTGTAATAGTACTGCCATTTCAACAAGGTGGCTATTTCAAAATGGAATATTACCATCTTCTTCAGCTGTAACTGAAGAAGGCGATAGTGTTCAATCCTGAAAGCACTTGTGTTAAGGTAAAATTAACGTAAGTGATGTTGTTTTATCCATACTTATTGTTTGTTCATGTGTCCTATAAATTATGGATCCGATGATAATTCTGTAACGTTGCAAGTTTCGTGTAAGGCAGATTTACCAGTTTATAGCGTTGCTCCAGTGCTTCTTTTCCAGGAAATATAAAAGCAGTGAACAAAACTGAACGTTCGGTTTTTATTCTTTTAAGCAAATCCTTTTGTACCTTGTTATAGTGTTGCCGCCTCATCCACGGGGCTAATATAGATGTTCTATTAAACAATCGTACCCCCCCAAATGCCTACATGCTGCTTTATCTTATGTGGTCTTCTACTATGGTGAAATCTTAATATTTTGGAAACTTCTGGGGGGGCAGTTATGTTAACTGTAATCATAATATGCATTCTTTTCTTGTTTTCGTACAGTAGAGGGTCTATTAACCTGACTTATTCTGAGATAGTTCTAACGGATTCCTCACTTTCCTTCTTCGAAGCCCCCTTAATTAGTCTAGTTATTGACCTACTGTGTATTGTCTAAACACGAAATGGGTAAAGAAAATGATTTCTTAGGTCTATTAATTGGAAAAAAAAAAAAAAAAAAAAAAAAAAAAAAAAAAAAAAAAATTCTTAGTAATAAAAACATAAACAAATATTTATAAGTTCTAATCAATAATTTGAAGCTTCTGAATAATTCACTGCATATGCAAGTGAAATACTATTTTAATTTTCATAATTTGAAAAGAAAAGTTAAAAAGAAATTTTTTAATGCTTAACAGCACAAATTGCAACGCATTTTTGCCGCCCTAATTTTTATAAATTAACTAGGAAGATGCAATACTTAAATTTCACTTAATGTTTTTACTTTGAGATTTCAGAAGCAGGGATATTTTTAAACGAAACGAAATTAAAATTAAAAAATTCAAATTTCTTAAACAAACGTTGTTACTATTACTAGTTATTTTAATTATCGGGATATAGTTTGGCTAAAACACCAGGAGTTTCTCCAACAGGAGATGCGGCAACAGAAATCATAGAAACAATGTGTTCTTTACTGAAATTGAGTAATTTATTTTAGCTGAGGCTCCGTAGTGAGATAGCACAATCGTCCCGATCAAGTGATGAAATTACCCCACTTGTATTGAACTGAAAATTGTACAACCAAGTATATCCACATTGAAATAGGGTGGCGCTCCTTTGCGCTTGAAACCACATATGTGGAACATGCTGGAACAACTACTTGTACCTCAGATAATGAAAGAGAGGGTATTTTTTATTTTCAGAAGTACCGATAATTTAAAATAATTAATTTCAACATCTCAGCTAATTTGAGATGAGCAGAAACATGTCTGACAATGCCAGATAAGGCAGTAGTATCATTGTGGGACTCTACGACATCTTGAAATGTTTTTTAAGTCTGACACTGATAAAACTGTAAAATTTGAATACTTTATATATTTGCTTAATTATACTTTTTCAACTCAGTCAGTGTAATTTAAGTCTATTTCTTAATTTACACTTAAATTACACATTGTTTAAGATACATTAAAAGACTTTAAAAGAGAAATCTTTAGAAAAATGTCTTCATTAAACATTTCCTCATTTGAATTTGGTTACTGTTGCCTTTTTGTCCTAAAAGTAGAAAATGTTTATAGTGTTATGTATAATGACACACTAGACTGCGTCTTTCAAAATTAATCCGTTTCATGCTTACTTATGTAATCCTCCTGCAATGCAACAGCCCTTAGCCAAGCATAGATTAAAATTTCAATAAAGCTACATCAATATAAATATCGCTGCCATTAAATGCGCAGTTACTTTCTCCACTTTGCTGCTGTTTAGACGTTTTGCTTGCCTCTGTTGTCTATTGCCCATTATCTAAATATGCGGACTGTAAAACACCGTGGATTGCCCATCGCACTCATAATAATGCATACACTTGATTCTGCTTTTCAAAGCTTTATTCATCAATAAATATTAAAATTAGGTGAAGTAACTAAGTTCATATCTGTTAGTTTTTCTTCTCCGTTA